CTCTTCTTCTTCGTCGGCAGCGGCGAACACCGTGATTGCCTTGCAAGCTGCAACGTCTAGCGTCAAGCCGAAGACCTCATCCACGAAGCAGAAAGCGGCGACCTCTCCCGCTCCCGCCCCTACTACATCGTCCACGAAACCCGCGCCGACGACCTCAGCTAAGCAAGCGCCCGCACCAGCGACGACTTCTACGAAGCCTAAGACGACCAGCCCCCCGAAGAACGTTGCCCCTTCTTCCACCGCTTCCTACTACACCTCCGCCAGCGGCAACTCGAACTCGGGCGCCAGCTCCAGCACCTCAAGCTCCGACGAGCAGGCATACTTGGACGGCCACAACACCGTTCGCGCTCAGCACGGCGCGGTTGCTCTCACCTGGGATGATACTCTTGCCGCCGCCGCACAGAAGTGGGCCAACAACTGCCAGTTCGTACACTCTGGAGGCAGCCTCGGTCCTTACGGCGAGAACCTCGCAGCGGGCACTGGCGACTTCACCATCGCGCAGGCCCTCAACGCGTGGGCGTCCGAGCCGTACACTGGTCAACCTTCCCACTTCACGCAGATGGTTTGGAAGGCCACCACGAAGGTTGGCTGTGCGGTCCAAACGTGCACGGGCATATTCGGCTCCACTCCTGCCAAGTTCTACGTCTGCGAGTACTCCCCGCAGGGAAATGTCATCGGAGAGTTCGAGTACGTGTCCTATCAGATGACTTGTTGAACATCATACTCATTCTTTCTGTAGCCAGAATGTCCAGGCGTGAGCAATGCTCCTCGAATTATGAGTTTCGACAGTGCTTCGTTACTGCCCTTGTATACCTCTTGCTGATGGCTGAGCTGTCTCTGAATTGCGCGCACGTGTCTGTATATAGTTCAGCTTGTGCAGCACCTATGAATGCGGGCCAGGATGTCCTTTTTTGAGAATTGGTGGTGTTCGCGCCCTGTAGCGTACCAAGCGTATTTCTGTCGGAAAAGCTACTTTACCGAAACCCTCGTGACCGTGTCGAGCCAATCAGCTGTGAAGCCGCCAAACTAAGGTGCGATCATGCGTCACCTGTGTCTAGCTCTCGACGTTCACCACCGTACCTAATGCTACTCTCTGTACTCTTGGAAAGATCATAGAGCCAATCTTCTGGCGATAACACTCGCTCATGGGTATTTTGAGAGGGCGGCATCCCCTGCGCGCCGCAGGGCAGGCGGCGCTATGGCTGATCTTCCTTGTTATGGTGGTGTTCTCGGTCTTCCTCCTGTTCTCCCAGGCAGTTCGTACCAGCCCAGAAGATACCCTGAAGAATAATATCGACGTGATAGTTATTGGAGCCGTGTATGTGCTGGTCGTAGTCTTCGGTGTGCTCGTCTGCATCAAGCGTCGCATTGCTACTTTCCGGAGGCTACAACGGATCCATAAAGGAAGCGCAACGCGAGGCGTTGGAGAGGCACCGAAGGTATATACGCAGGCAGTCGCATTCTAAACTGGGTATTGACCTTCTTCAGCAAGTAATGGACTTCATAACACAAGAGTATGCGCGGTCTGCTCTCATCGCGTACGAGAGCGTACCCAAGAACGTGGTCCAGGAAGGTTGGGGCCGGCCCAGTACGTTGTGTCACACTCAAGAACGAACTCAATCTCACAAATGATGACAGACTCGATCTACGGAAATGTTCACTTTCGCCGGGCCCTGCTTGACACCATCCCTGACCTGGACACCCTCGCGCGGTCTATTATCCCACATCAGCCTGCTTTGCGCGCACATGAGCGCATGCTCTCTCATTTTCGCTTCATTGCCCCGCTCCTACCCCGCGACTCAGATGGTCTCAGTCCCCTACACTACTACGACAGCGCTATACAACTCGCAAGGTTCGCAGAGAGGGAGATGACGGAGAAAGAGTATGAAGTGGCAATGGGAGCCGTTAGGGCCATGAAGGATGTGTGAGTTTACCATCTCATCACCTTACCGGAGTCATACTCACAGAGGTTGCTTGCCAGGCTCGAGGCGCTCGATATGGAGGCACGACTGGGTTCGACGTTGGAATTGAATGGAAGTTTGCCAATAGCATCGGCGGCACCTTCATTATCGTAGCATCTACTCGTATAGTGCAGTATTAGCAAAGTTTTCGTAATAGCGCGTACAAGATGGAGTAAGCAAAAGCAGGAAGTATCAACGTGGAGATATACAGTACAAGCGACGTTACAGCGTGCAGACATGCAGCAGTGCAAGAGAGGTTGCGCAGAAAGCATCGGACAGTACAAGCATGAGGCTGGAAAGCGTTTATATAAATATGGGCGGCTCATGATTGAACGTCATGATCGCATGTCAAGGAGACTCGTCTGAAGTTACGACGATGATCGGTGGGCTGGAGGAAGGGCTGGACGATGGCGAGCTGGAGCTGCGGTTCACCATGATAATAGCATCATCGTCCTCGACGGCACTCTCCGACGACTCAGCAGGGCCGAAGATCAACGACGTAGGGCCGATTCTGGCGGATTGCGTCGACCACGTCGGTAACGCAAGAAGACCGCCAGAGTCTGTTCTTCCGATGGAGGACGCACGTATCAGCCCCGGACGAGCATCCTGTGTTCCTTGACTCGAGCCACTTGCGCCGCTGATAACAGAGGCCACGCTCTGTACGCTCCGACTGCGTCCCGTTACTAGACGGTGCCGCAGTACATCCTCCTCCCAGTGGTCAGAGCGTAACTCTTCGCCCGGAACGAGAGGATAGTCCCGGAACTGATCGTGCCCAGGCGTCTTCGTGATATCGTCCGCGAAACGATCGACTGCCGGCGTTGTCAAGGCCACAACACGCTCAAGCCCGCGAGCAAACTGCTGGCGATGATGGTGCATCTCTTCTCGGAGAGTAGAGCTTCGGCGACGGTGTCGGCCACTTGTGAGCGGAGGCTGTGGCACATCGGGTGTCGGTAGCTCGCTCATGTTGTGAGGAGAATCCGTGAGCCTGATGAGACCGAGGTTGCTTGTTCGCATATCCGCTTGCGCATCTTCAGGCAGCCGAGGGCTCAACCATGAGGTGTACGCCGATCCAAGAGCCGCAAATACTGCACCAACGATTGGAGCCCACTGACCTAAATCCAAACCATTCAGAATACAGCTTCATGTGTAGTTGAAACAACGAGCGTACCAACAGAAGACATCGGCTCGACACCCAAGCGCGTCTCAGGACTCCAAAAGTTCTCCTAACGGAAACGGAGACAGTGAGCATGAACCCGGACAGACCACAAACGATGGTAGTACCTCTCCCAGGACCACAACCGTCAAGATACAGACGCAGTATACAATGCGCTCGACAAGGTTCAGCCCGCGTTTGATAATCGCATCCATCTTCTTCTCTTCACGACGTAAACGACTGTCGCTTGCGTTGCGGAACTCGGGAGATATTGGGGATGGGGCCATGACACGCGGCGGTGTATCCTCTTCGGGTTTGCTGCCGTATAGTAGCTGCCAGTTGGCTCTCATGACCTTTTGCCACATGACAATCAGGCTGAGGAGCGCCGGAATGCAGCAGGCAGCGCAAAGCAGTGTGGCAGTATCAAGCGTCATCCCTTTGTGCGGCACTAGGATGTACTGAGCAGGGTTCTGCGGATCCTGTCGAATTGGCGAGAACGCTGTGCCGCACCCAAGGTTACACAGGTCAAGATCACTGCTACTCATGCTCGCTGTGAAGTTGGCTATGGTGACATTATTGCCGCTTGAGTCCACGCATGTTTGTTCGGTAGCACGAGCGAAGCAAGCGACGAGGCTTAAGAGACCTACAGAGAGTCAATGCATTATCGAACATATGACCGTTACAAGCACCCACCTGCGATCACGAGTAGAGTCCACAAGAAGATGATATTACGTCCGTCTGTCTGGAAGTAGACCCTCGAATATCTGACGGTGATTGGCGCCGACAGGACTCCGATGGCCAATATCTGGAACGCGCCAAATATATCCATGTCAACAACATCTATACCAAGTCATAGTCGCATCAGTCTTGTTCGTGCATCAGACGCGTGTAACTTACGCTTCTGCGAGTATACCGCAAGGATGATGGCATGAAGGGCAGCGACGGCAGCGTATATAAGAGCCGCCGCCGTGGCCGCACCACGCATCCAGTCCGTCTTCAGAAAGAATATGCTAACGAGCACCAGCGCATAGTACAGATATCGCGAGCCGACGCCGTACTGCCCACTAAGAGGCCATGCTAGCACATGCCCATCAGCATCGTCATCTCCTTCCAGGGCAATTGCTGATTGCGATCACTTACCGCACAGAACGGGAGCGCCCGAGGCGGACTGGGAAATATCGAACTCGACAAACGGAAAGCCCGAGCCTGGAGCGTGAGGTACATACATGCGCAACGTCTGGACGAAACAAGGTAATACACTTGGGACGTTGCGGCGACTCAGGCAGGTTGTGGCTCCAAGCTCAGCTAGAGCAGTCACGGACTCTTCGACGAACGCGCCAGGGTGACGAGGCGGGGCAAGTACGGGGTAAGATGGGCGTTTGACGAAGGGTACAAGTAGAAGGATAAAGCGATGCACGAGCGTGTGCGGGGTGCCTGTATATCAGGCCCGGGACGGGCGCTTGACAGCGGATAATCGGGCGCTGCGTAGGCGGGTTTCCCACTCCTCGCGAGCCAAGACTGAATGCAAGTTGAGCACATGAGCTGTAATGCTTTCCGACCCTGTAAGCGCCGGACACAGCCCGCACGTTTGAGGGTTCAGGTCATATATCTGTACATGGTGGCGGAGCGGTCGAAGGTTGACTTGAACCGTCATCGAGCCGCCCTCTTCTGAACATCACTGTACGCGCCACGTGCTGCCCTCGCAATGGTCAACCGAGCGGGCGATGGGGACATCGGGTCCTGGCAAGCCATCATCACGCTTTTGGTGTTTATCGCCACAAGTTGCGTGTCGTCTAGCGTATTTTGAGCGGCTACCTTCGAAGTTCGGCTGACTGTAATGATGCAGTCGCGGCTCTCGTGTTTCCGGTTGACATTCCCGTCATCGTACCCCGATTCGTCGTCCAACATGTCGACAGAGCGCTTGTATGGGCTCGAATACGGCCACCATCAGCATCTACTACAACAGCAGTTGCACAATCAGCGAGGCTCTCCAAGCGACATCCTCATCGTTTCTTGCTTCCTATCAATTTTGTGACGGCGCCGCTCATAGCGGTACTTCTTCTGTTGGCCATCGGAACTATAGGGCGACAAGAAGTGCACGATGGAACACTAGGGGCGGACAATATCGTGCCCATAGACATCATGGTGAGTCTGACCGCGTTCCCATTATGCAAATCACGCTGACCTCAATAGGCATTCTTTCTTGGATTGGTGAGTGTTAACTTCTCCCTATGATGGTGTCATAGCATACTGAGGTTTGTGTAGGCCTACGTCGCAATCAGCATCGATGCCTCTGGGCTGATTCGCTTCCTAGCCTTCGTAGTGGTCAAGAAAGGAGGGAATGTCGGACATCGCCTATACTTCTACCTCTACGTGTTCTTTTTCGCCCTTGGGACTTTTGTTGGGAATGTGAGTGGGCAGCGTGGAAACTGTGCTTCTGAGTCTCATCATCGCACTGTATAGGATCCTATCATCTTGTCCGGAACTGCATTTCTGGCCTACTTGACGCGTGTAGCTGCCAATATCAAGCATCCGCGCGCATGGATCTATTCCCAGTTTGCTGTGGCCAATATCTGTGCGTATCCTCGCACACCGCTACCTGCCTGCAAGACACATTCATTGATGCTGGCGTTGAAGCTTCTGCGATCCTCGTCTCCTCAAATCCCACCAATCTGGTCCTTGCAGGAGCATTTCAGATCACATTCACCAACTATACAGCGAATATGATTGTGCCTGTTGCCATCACAGGATTGGCCCTCTTTCCCTTCCTACTCTACTTGATCTTTCCTTCGGAGGGTAAGACATACATGAGATGTTGGAACGCGACTATGATTGTTGACGGTGGCCCACAGACCTCATCCCACTCAGGATCGAGATACGAGACCTACCTGATGCTGAAGCCGCGGCAGGTTTGACGGATAGCCCCGCGGCCATGGACTCTGCATTGGAGACCGAGGAGCCCGAACTTGACAAAGAAGCCAAGGAAGCCAAGGAACGCGAAGAACTGCCACTTGAAGAGTTGCTCAATCCCTTCCTCGATAAGGAGGGCGCCATATTCGGCGGCGTGATCATTACCATCACTCTTGCCACCATACTTGCCACGAACGCCGCCCATGCTGGAGCGCAGGTTTATCAGATCACGTATGTGTCATACCATTCTTGACTTCTAACGGCTAAACATGATGCAGTACTCCTGCGGCCGTCATTACACTCTGCCGCGATATCTTCTATGACTGGCGCAAGCGTAATGATAGACCGCCACCCGATGAAGAGCTGGATCCAGCTGGCGGCGGCAATGGAGCACAACCCAGTGTACTCTTCGGGCAACCCCATCCCGCTTCGCGACAAACAGACTGGCCGACCACAAGTAAACATACTTCTGAACTCGAATCAGCGATGACGCCAACTCAGCCTGAGGCGGCATTTACGAAGGACCGATATCACAGCCCGCTTCCAGGAGTAGACGGCGCGCCACAGCCAGCGGGAACTTCGTCGGCGCGATCTGTTGCAATTGAGCGCTCTGGCTCCGTCGCGTTGCGTCAAGGAGATTCCGCCTTGCCTGAGATTCCTCCGCTCTCAGCGGATCTTCAATTGCAAACCTTGAGCGACCCGCCTACGCAGTCACCTGTCTTCCCACCTTCTGGTCATTCGTCGAAGACACTTGCATCGGGAACCAGTATCGCAAAGCCTGATCCGGCGCGAGTTCCGCGAACATTAGTCGATATTGCTAGGGATACCAAGGAGTACATCGTCAAGACCTTCCCGACCGTTTATACCGTTATGCAGCATTTGCCGTTCCCGCTTGTTCCGTGCGTGTTTTCCTTGTCTGCATGCGCACATCCGGCTGAAATAGACCGGATAGATTCGCATTTTGCATGTTTACCCTCGTTCAGGGCCTGGTAACGAAAGGCTGGGTCGAACTCTTCGCCGGATGGTGGCATGCGTGGGTCAATAAAACGGGAGTCGTGGGTGCTATCGGCGGCATGGGTTTTCTCTCGGTCGTCATGTGTAATGTGAGCGTCATGCAATGGCCTGTTGGGCTCTCTCTGATCATGCTCTGCAGTTCTCTGGTACTAATATCGGCGCGACCATCCTGATTTCTCGCGTCTTACAAGAGTGGATGAGAAGCAATCCCATGTCGGACCGCCTGCGCGATGCTACGGTATGTTGTGCTGCGTTCTCTTTCACGTTTGCACGTTGGACTGAACTTCGCCAACAGCTTTATGCTTTAGCAATAGGTGTTAACTACGGCGCCTTTAGTTTCACTTTCAGCGCGTCGCTTGCTGGCCTGCTGTGGCGCGACATTCTGGCGCGCAAGTTCATATACGTCAGGCGACTGGACTTCGCCCGTATCAACCTTCCCATAATCTCCATCGCGATGGCCATAGGCTGTGGTGTTTTGACCGCACAGGTATACATAGTAAAAGATGGAAGTAACTCGGTAACAGCCGTTAGGGCATGATAACGATCACTCACGCCGACATGATAATTTTCTCCACGTTCTCCGCCCCACCGAACTGACCAGTATTCTTTGTACATAACATACTTACGACGTCATTTACGCATAGACTCTGATAGCGATACCTATATCATCATTTTCAAGTAGAGCAACGAGTGTGCAAGGTTCATCTTGTGCCACCCAAACGATGGGACACGACGGCGATGGATGAAAGGCAATAGCGGCAATACACTAGATATAGGAGCTCGATGTTTACTGGTATGTTATGGTATGCTCGAGACCTGGGAACCCGATATCTGTGCCTGTCGGCATGAGAGAGCTATATTTACTTCTACAGGAGAACAGGATTCAGAACAAGGAGAGTAGAGAGGGTAGGACGAGATGGAGAGCATCTTGATGATTGGAGCAAACGAGAGGGCGGGGTGACGATGTGCAGATGACGACGACGAATGTTGAGGTTGTGGGGGGAGCGCGAGGTACAGCTGTAACCTAAGAGAATCCAGGTGGAGAGAGAGCGGCAGGGTGGAACGCAAGCGGGGGATAAAGGAGGTAGTAGAGAACGAAGGCGCAGGTGAGGACGCGCCCGCACGCCCAGAAGAATGTTATGTTTTGCTGGGAATGTGCAGATTGATAGCTCGGAACCACGTCAGAGCATCGCTCGTGCTGACAGCCTCGAAGTAGAGGATAGCCTTATTATCAACCAGGCGGAGCACTACTCGACAATCAGCACTGCCATCTACACACAGAGCCATCAGGACATACCGTTGCCATGTACGATGCTCGCCGGTTGTGGCAAAGTCTGCATACGCAACACTGCCCATAGATCGACCTGACTGCCTGGATCCCTCCCATCACTCGGGTCGCGACAGAGCACAAGCAAATCGTTACACAGAATCCCAACGAGACTACGCGGCGTCTGCTCGGGTGCAAGGCACTCGACCTGCACATCTGTGGTGTCGCCCATGCCATCGACAACCTCGAAGCCGATCGTGACCTTGCGTACGACGCGCGTAAGCAAAAGGGGTCCGTCCATGATGAGCCGTCGATGCGGTTGTACAAGCGGGCTCGGGAAGCGGCCGCGTATCCGGCTCTGCCATTGTACCAGCTTGCGCCTGCCTTCCGCCTCGCGCTTGCCCTCGTTCATGTTCGTCGCCAGACTCGAGATCTCCGTCAGGGCCTTATCCAAGGGATCCACATACTCATATGTCGGCGGAGTACTGCTTCCTAACTGCTCGAGAAGCAGCTTGTACCGTGGGATACGTTGGACGGGAAGAAGAAGGTAACCCTCGATGTTGAGCTGACTGTGCCGTGGAGAGAGTCGTGCACGCTTGAGATACTGCTTGATGCGCTTGCGCTGGCCACCATTGAGCGGTGACGATGTCTCTGACGAATTTGAGCCAAGTCCGAGGCCGACGACTTGTGCGGATGTGGCGAGGCCAGGATTGGGCGAGCCACCTAACCCCGCCTTGTCCACCGTCCATGTCTTGATACGGTCAATAGCATTGTCGAAGTTGCTGAGATTCTCGTGAGAATGTACACTTATGAATGCATCGAGGACGAGGTACGTACTTGATGTACGTTGAGTACATCCGCATGAATGCGGCGTGGTCCACGAATGCGCTAGCAACGGCGACCGCCGCGGTGAGCGACAGCCTCCCATCAGGATCCTCCGACGCAGCTGAGCGCAGACGCAGAATGGGTGCCGCGGCATGTTCCAACGCAGGAAGGAAGTTGTTGCTGTGGAATGAGAAGAGAGCCTCGACGCCGCTGAACACGACTTTTCGCTCCTCCTTTGGCACAATCGTCTCCTTCGTACTCGCGCCGAGCACATTGACGGGTGCCTCCGCGGGTTTGATGTACAGGTCGTTGAGCTCTTGCAAGCCTTTGACGTACGTTCGCTCCGTCTCAACGATCTCGCGTAGGATAGCCGCCCGCTTCGCGCCGTCATCTTTGAACTTCCGGCTCTCGCTCCCGCTCCCCGAGCTATCCGTGCTCATCATGCTCGTTGTCTGGCTCTGGCTGACACTCCGCAACCGGCTGATGCTCTCCATACTCCTCAGCTGCCCGCCATTGGTACTGGCACTCGTCGGGCTCCCGATGACTGGCGTGCCAGTCGTACTAACACTGGGCGTACTTGTCTCCGAGTTCGTCCGCCCGCCGACCTCACTGACCGTCGGCCGACGGCTACGTGTACCCTCCGCAGGCGCACCGGGCATAATTTGCGGCACACTAAGATCGTGCATGTCGCGTAGATACGCCATGACAGATCGCAGTGCGCGCGTGTATGCCTCGCGTGCACGCTCCTCCTCGCGTCGCAACAGGTCGGCGGGCGTCGGGCTTGGTGTACGCGCGCGCTCCGCTTCATCAGAGGGTGCACCTTCGTCCACCGCAAAGCCAGTAACGAAGGCGGATGGGCTCGGAACCGGTATTGTCAGGCCGCCTGCGAAGTCAATGGGCAGGAAGCTTCGTCGCTTGGCTCGCCGACTTGTCGGTGATGCGGGCGGTACGAGCATGCTGCTGCTCCCCGTAGCGCCTAGGAAACCGGGTGTACTCGCGGACGCACTTGGCGGCGTTGCCGTCGAGGGTGCATCGTCTATCTCCACCACTTGGGGCAGCCCAGCTTCTTCGCCCTCCTCCGGTTCAATGATGGACGGTGGAAATGCCGAGCCATTGAGTGAAGGCATGTCGATATTCAATGCGCCCGTGCTCGAGAGACGTACGTCGAGCTTAGACGGCCCATGTGCCTGCACTTGTCGAGCGAGTAGGGGAGTGCTCGCGCTGCGTTGATCTGGTATCCCTACAAGCGGAGCAGGGCCAGGACGCGGGAGACTTGTCGCAGACGCTATTTGCATAGGCGCTGGTCTCGGCGGCGGCGCCCCAGGTAATGGAGGCGAGTCGTTCTTGAGCTTGCCCATGCTCATTTTCCGCAGGAATCCCCATTTCCCTTTCTCCTTCTTCCCCGAACCGACTTGTGGCGGACCTGCTCTTGCCCGCTTTTCAGCCGCCTCTGGTGAGCCAGGTTTACTGAATAAACCGTGTGGAGGTGCACTCGGAGGCGGCGACGGAGGCCGAGATGGCGAGCGAGAAGTCGCCCCTGCTGGGAATTCGGCTGCTGCCGAAGATGCAGGGATGTCAGAGAACAACCCATCGCGCAGAGCTGGCCGAGCCCGCGCGTTCGCGGCAATCAGGCTATTTGTTGCGCCGAGTGACGCGAAGCGCGGAGGAAGGACTTCTGGAGTGCCGAGAAGATTTGACGAGCTAGCCGAACCAGAAGCGTAGTTGGTAGCCGGTCTGCTTGTTGGAGGCGATGCTCGAGGAGACGGCAACGCAGGCGGTGAACCAGCGGGTGATACAGGTGCAGTATGCGCTCCTCGCCCCGCGCGCAGCTCTCCAGCACTTTTCATACGGCGGACTTGTCCATCTCCTGATTTCCCAGATCGCGACGATGATTCGTGCTGGCTGACAGCGCGTGCGCCAGACGTCGGCTCGCCTCCGCGCGGGCTGCGATCACGGTCAAAATAACCGCGGTTGGGCGCAGTGCGAGTGCGAGTGAGTCCTGGGCTGCGGAGAGGTGTAGGAGGCGTAGGTGGTGGGGGCGGCAAATCGGGTGCACGACTGGTAACCAAGGATGCACGATTGGGTACAATCGTATTATCCTCGTCCTCAGCTGAATGGCGCTCAACGCCCAGGTAGGGCGATTCCGATGGACTGGGATCATCCAAATCCGAGTGTCCTTCTGAGTGCGTTGCCGTCGTCGCAGATGGAGGTGGGTGAATGGGCGTCGATGGCGGGTACAATGGGACAGTATTTTCCTTTGCGAGAAGAGGATCAACCAGCGCCTTCCAGGGCCCTTGAAAGGGGTTGCCGTCTACAAGAAGCGTTTCAAGCGCAGGAAGTTGGCAAAGCCAAATGGGCAGCGAATACATCTTGTTGCGCCGGATCGAGAGCGAATGGAGATGCTCAAGTGCAGACAACTGAGGAGGCAAAGTGTTGATACCCGTCGAGTCCGCAATCAAGACCCGCAAGTTGGTCAAGCTGGCGATGAAGATGGGAATGGCTCGAATGGGATTAGAGGAGATGTTGAGCTCTTCCAGACCGACGCACGCCTCCAGCGAAAGTGGGAGAGCACCCAAGAAGTTGCAAGATATGTCCAGCGCCAGCAGAGAGCTCGATATCATGGGCAGAGTCTGGTTGAGAAAGGAGGGAATAGCATTGGGAGTGCTGCTGGAACCGACTAGGAGATGTGTTGTGCCTGAGTTGTACACCGACGGGTTAGAGTTGGGGAAAGCAGCCGAGCGGTGCGGAGATCAGTACGGACCTGGATCAACTCTGAGCTTGACGGTAGCGACGCCATCGCCGCGGACGATGAGACCGCGACCCTCCTCGGCGATTACGATGGCGGCCGTGCGCTCCTCCTCGCGGTCGGGGTCGTCGTCGTCATCGTCGTCCATGTCGAGATCCGTGTCGTCGTCTTCTGATGTCAGATCGACCTCGTCGCGCTCGTCGACCGGTTGCCAGCTGAGGTCATAGCTGGGTGTCGTGCGCAGGTTGTGTGTCATTGCAGGCGCCACGGGCGGCTGTTGCAAGTGTTCGCGGCCGGAAATAGAGTTTGAGCGGACGAGGCTCGAGCGCGAACGCAGACTCTGGGAATAATTCTGGGACCAGCGGGATGTCTGGTCGATGGGCGCGCGGTAGGAGGACGAGGGCTCGAGGTCGTCCGAGACGGCGACACCGATGCTCGAGTCGACCGGGCTAATCGGGGACTCGGTGCTGCCCACAACGTGCACGTGCGCGTATTCGTGCGCCAGAGCGCTTCCCGTGCTCGAATAGGCCGTCGAACGTGTCGACGCAGAGGACCCGCTCGAGAGCGCGGGCGGCGGAAATGTCGACGGATCGGCCAGGTGCTTGCGCGCCCTCCTGAAGCTGCTCCCGACGCTGACAATATCCTCCACCGCCGTCGTCCCGCTCAGCTCGTCCTCACTCCACTCTCGGGCCTGGTACGCGACCTCATGCGTGTCGATCGCGGGCATGAAGGGGGCAGGGTGATGGTGGGTAGAAGGAGGCAAGGTACAACCGACCAGATGCTCTGTTACCGCTGTAACGCTCTAATGCTCTCTGTTAAATCAATCACTTCACCACCTCTTTCAATCTGATCAACAGAATCGCCGACATGCTCTTCGGGCCGCCCGCCGTCTATTCCCTCGAACCCACAAGGCCTGTTCAATGTATATACTATTGTACTCGTTCCGGCTACACACATTCCTCTTCCTCGCAAATATGCCCCCGTCACACGCCTCGTCTCTATGCTGGATGATCCCCTCACTAGCCCTTCCGCGCGCGATCTCTGACGTACTCGATCCGCCACGTACCCTCCGTCTTGCGCGAGGTTTTTTTGGGTCCAGGCCATCTCTAAATTATCAAGGGGTCCTCCTCAATAAACGAGGGGCGTTCCGTGAGGACCTCCGATGTCGGCGAAATCACGCAGCTCGCGCTCGTCGACTCCATGACCGCAAGTTCTACCAATGGAAAAGCTGATGAGCAGGTGTATGATCGGATATCACCATGGGCGTACACCCCGCCTGGCCACTCTCGCACAGTCCCTTTCCATAGTAAGATGACAGCGACGCCCCCCTTCAGAAGTCGTATACATCCGGTCGGTCCGCCCGAAACGCGACCGACTTCTTTTTCCTCTTCTTCGGTTCCGCAGCCCCGCTCTCCTCTACCTCCGCCTTGAGCTGTACCTGCACCTCGATCGCGCCCGCCTTTTCTGCCCCGCCCTCGACCGCAACCTCGACCTTTGCTAGACCACGCCCGCCGGACTCAGTGTGACTATGCCCGGCGTCGTGTCGTGCTTCTGTGGCGGGGGCGGGCGCCGTCCGTCGCTCGCCGACCCCGCCCTCGACGTCCAGGTGCATAGTCTCAATGACAAAGCGACGACGCATGCATTTGAATGCGAGGTTATTCTCTCCTCCTGCTCCACCAGCGAGCCCGCGTAAGGTACTGAACCTATCGCTGGGTGCAAGTAGAGTATGAGGCGCGGGCAGCGAATGGAGGCGTACGAAACCGTGGTACGACGGAAAGGCACGAGCCAAGACTGGGTCGCCTATGACAGCATGCGTATTGAGTTACAGTAACTATAACATGTATTGGTGTGAAGAAACGTACCCGTAAAGGCAGCCAGCGTGAGGGCGCCGTCCGACAAGAACGACAACTTGTTCAGCCAGCCAGGGCCACCGAAGCCAGGCACCGAGAGGTGTGGCACGAGCGCGATACTCGCGCAGGCACGCGGGTGGGCGCGCAATAAAGCCCGTAAAGAGTGCAAGAACCTCAAGACGTCCTGTGCGTACGTCGATCAGCGCTCGCACTGCATATATGCTTGACGAGTAGAAAGGGGACTGACTGTGCCAGTTATATCGCCCCATTCTGGCGCGCCGAACGCGGGGACGCATATGCGTACTACACCCTCGCCTGCAGCCTCCAATGCGGCCTCCAATCGGTCCAGAAGGTCCCTTACCGTATCCGTACCGTGATCGTTGACGCCCACATAAGAAACCTTGGCGGCCTGCAGGATTGCGGGTGGTATCCGTGCCGTGAGATCGAAAGTACGACAGAACTCGTCTGTGCTGTGGCGCCCGATCAGCTCTCGGCGTAGCATCCATTTGAGCGCAAAATATTTACTCGTTGGCAGATGTAGGTACAGTTGTCTGTACGCGCTTCATATTCTCGTAACGCCAGGCGATCTTGACTTTACCCCCATTCTCAGCCGCCTCTTCATCTTCCCTTTCCTCGACGATCTTTGCGCCGTCCTTGTTTGCGATTGAGGGTTTCGGTATCCACATGCACTCTTCCAGCCATTCTTCGGGTGTGCCATCAACCACGGCGAGTGCATGACCGGACGCCAGCCCTTGCGCGGCGAAATACTTCACACTCAGCTCTCCGTAAGCCGAGTGCGGATCAGGCGCGAGCGTCAGAAGAGAGCACGACAAAGGCAGTCCGCCTCCCAGAACATCATCAAGGGAAGGTATCCCCGTCGACGTGAGCTGTGTGAATGGAGATGAGGGACACGGACGAGTCCCCGGTGTCGACGCCGTGCGCGCCGCGGGAGCCTTTCGCTTGAACGCAGACATCGCCGGCCCAGACAAGATCGAGGTTGTCAAGTATAGTGGAGTAAAACAGTTCGGCCAGTTATTTCCGAAGTTCAAGTATAATCCGGTAGTCAGCCGGGGAGCACGGAGATCGAAGGCGTCAAGCTGTCCATCATCGAGGAAAGGAATAAAAGGGCGTGAGAAAAAGAGTAGCGCGTCGGCGCGTTTCCCGTTGCGCGACGCGTTTCTGCTCGTCTTGACGCGCATGCCGGCGCCACGCTTTGGGCGCATAAATGCATATTTTCGTACACTGAGATGGAGGAGTGTCGGCCATGGTGCTCTGATAGTGCGCTCCTGAGTCTTATGTGACGGTTGCTGCAACCACTGACGCGAACTGAGCGTAGGGTTTCAACATGCTATGCTTCGGGCATATGTTCGTTGACTATGTCGCACGTATCGGTTTCGTGAGCGCACTGTCAACTATTCCACCGGCGTCTTGCTCATTCTATGCTGCGCAGATGTACGGACCTTCGATGTTACCGACATTTGCCGCAACGGGCGACGTCGTACTCGAGGACCGAATCTCCGTCCTCCTCGGACGCCCATTCACGCGCGGCGACCTCATCACATTCATATCACCCGCGAACCCCTCTCACATAGTATGCAAGCGCATTCTGGGTCTACCGGGTGATGTTGTATGCATGGATCCAACGGGTACAGTCGCACCAAGCGACGAGCATGTCGTTGTGCCGCGGGGCCATCTCTGGGTGCAGGGTGACAATGCTGACAATAGCCGGGACAGTCGGTATTATGGTCCTTTAAGTATGGGTCTTGTGCGTGGTTTCGTGTATGCACGGGTAAGAAAGACTTGGTGTCCCTCTCGCTACTTACTGATGGTAGTCGCTAAATGTAGGTGTGGCCATTCAGCACCGCGAAAATCTTCCGAGGAGAACGCAACAGTACATATTTAGATTAGCATATCCTGCATAATATCATATATCTCTCCAGTCTCCTCACGTAGCTTATGATATGGCTTGGGGTGCACACGGTAAGTATATGCGTATGACGGCAATTCAACCGCTTCCGCGTTGCCTTGCGGCCTGTCGGGATACCCTGTCCTTTATGATCATGGCGAGCCTCACTACCCGTAAGTAATACACGACCGCCCTTTCATTGATGAAGCTCGCTAGTCACGCATCAGCCACTGTCTTGTATCATGCAGGAGTCCGGGTATGTATAGTGCGCACAGACAGTGGCTTTCAAATAGGTAGAGGTATAAGGGGAACATATAGTACAGACAACGACGAGACCTAGCAGAACAATGCATAACAACCCAGTCTACATCAACCACTGCCATACGGCCTCCGCCTTGTTCCTCGGGGGAGGTTCATCGACCTCCTCTGCTTCAATCTCTGCGATATTAGAGACGAAGTCCATATCCGCAGGCGCGATAGGACCCTTCCTCTTCCAGATACGAGCTCCGACGTAGAGTATAGGGAAGAGAGCGAACGGAAGGTACTTCGTGACGAAGTCGGCCGTTTTCCAACCATTCTTCAAGAACACGGCGAATCCGGAGAACTGTACAGGAGTGTTAACACGAGCTTCAACACTGATGAGCTAAGAACGAGAACTTACGAAGCAGATGACAAGAGTGGAGACAACGGTGTACCATGCAAGGTAGGGCTGCAGGGGACTGCGGTAGGGCAGAGTGTTGCGGTCGATGCCCTGCGCCTTGGTGCCGGCGTAGAAGCGAAGGTAGGTCACACCGATACCGAACCAGGTCATCAGACCGGCGATGGAAGTCATGTTGGAGAACCATCCGAAGACTTCACCAGAGCCCGCGTTCACGCCCATGTACGAGAGCAGCGCGAAGGCAGTGGAGACGACGAGCGCCGGCCAGGGAAGTCCGTTCTTGAGCGTCTTGCTCAAGAATTTGGGCGCGTTGCCGGCGATCGAGAGACCGTAGAGAGCACGCGAACTGGTGTACATGTCTGAGCTCGCGGCACTCCATGCGGACGTCAAGAGACAGGCGTTGACGATGTGCGGAAGGACCTATCACTCGACTTCAATACCTAATCTGTACTGATGTGCAAAAACAAGTTACCTTGATACCACCGCGATTCATCGCGATAACAAAAGGCGAGGAAGCAGCCGTGCCGTCCGAGAGGTTGAGACCAGGGTCGGTACTTGGGACGAGAAGGCCAATGACAGTAACACCACCGAAGTAAAAGAGCAGGATTCGGATGTAGACGCGTTTCTGTGCATAGTGTCAGAGCAATCAAAGAAGACGATCATATGTTGAGACTCACAATCGCCCGGGGAATGTTACGGCGCGGGTTCTTGGCCTCACCCTGCGTTGGTGTGGTCGTCAGTCAATCTAGTTCACTGAAGGAATGCCGAATACTAACGGCGCAGATTGCGACGATCTCTGTCCCAATGTATGAGAAAGCGGCCTGCGTCATGACGGACCACCAGCCGAGGAAACGACCGGTATTGCCAGCGATGTTGTCGTACTGGACGAATGGTCCGGGGTTCTTCCAGTAGCGGAAACCGAGACGATCATGGTTGGGTGCACCACCAAGGTCGATCACAATACCCAGGATGATGAGACCAGTAATAGTAATGACCTAGGAAGAGCCTTATCAGACTCTGTGAATGGTGGTAGGGTTACGGACAAAGCGAACCTTGATGGATGCGAAGATGAATTCCGCCTACGGTACAGTGTGAGTCCGTGGACCACCTTATCTCAACTGCGGAAGCAACGCACCTCGCCATAAGCGCCGGCCCCGAGGAAGTTGATACAGACAACTACAACTAGACAGATGCTGATCCAAGCCGCGTTCAAGTTGGTGTTCTTATCCCAGTAGTCGATGAGCACAGCTGCAGCAGAGAGCTCAGCGGGCAGCTGGAGGAATCATTCCAGTCAGCCGCCTTTCCTCCGAGCACCATCCCGTTTGTACGCACCACAATGACCCAGTTATAGGCGTAATTCCATCCCATAGCAAAGCTGAATGCAGGGTCGACGAAGCGCTCCGCGAGCTTGATGTGGCCTCCGGGTATGGGAAGGAAAGCACACATCTCACCCAAGCTGTTCATCACCGCGAAGGTGATGGATCCAACGGCCATGTAACCTGCGTGATGATCAGCACACGTCGCGGGAGAGCACCGTGGAGTCGCGTACCAAGTAAGAGACCGATGGGACCTCCGTTTGCGAGCGAAGTCGCAGTACCTGAGTTCGTGCATCAATATAGGGAATACTATCTCCATACCCGGTGCAGCTGACATACCCAGGAAAAGACCTAAAGCGGATCATGAGCGGGAAGTATAAACCGAGCAAGTCGAGGTGGGACGCACCAGTGCCAATGACACCGCCAATGGAGATCATGGCAACTTCATGAATGGTCAGATAACGGCACCGCGATACGAAAAACGAGTGCGCATACTATGCCTGTTCTTCAGCTGGCGCTTGAGAGTCCCCGACTCGACAATGCTGTCGCGCTCGTGGTCATAGGAACCTTCGACATAGACGCCATCCTTGGGCGCCTTCTCGTTGAACGAGGGGTCCGACATCGTCGAGAAAGCAGGCGTTGTACGGATGGAGGCAAGAGGAGAAGGGCGCTCAAGGACGAGGGGTGAGAGCTTCCATGCTTATATACCGGTGATGCAGGTGGCCGCAGTGCGCCGCAGGTCTTATCTGCTAGTTCAGGTGGCTGAGAAGATTGCACGATGCTGTCAACATGTCACTTGAAGCAGGCATCGCCAAGGGCAGCTTTTCATACGGTAGCTGATGGAAGATCCGCGAATAGGCGCCGTCCATATACCTACACAGACAGAGCCTGTACTTGGGTCCTCGAATTGCTCAAGTACAAAATGAGAAGCACTGCTCAGGGTTATTTTGAAGTGGGCATGATATGTCAAAGATAAGAGGCCGGACGACGCGCATCTGTCCCCAGTGATGCCGTATGGTGCTGTAACTCCCGCGCCACTCGAACAGCAACAAAAACATTCCCCTTATCGGTGCGCGTGTGCCTTGACTTCTTGACGATCCTACGCTGTACCTGAGTTCTAGAAAATAGAGAAGTAGAGGCGTAGCTGGACTGTACTACTTCTAAGAAGTGGTATTCTCTGAAAATGCCCGCGTTAGATGGAGGTGCGAGTGCATGTGGCACATGTGCCTGAAATGCTGTCGACCCCGCCTCCAGCCCGCCTCTGCTTCCGGAGTCCACAGACCGGGTGGAAAGAGGCCGGATTCAATGCGCTCATCAATCTCGCACCCCAACCCGATCGAGATCGCATCGTTTGGTCGCGTGCCCTCGGCAACACGCGCTCGCCGCGGCTGTTGAGTGGACAACGGCAGACAACGGCCTTCTTTGCTTTCAACCTGCACCTCGCGTCTCTTCGTATAGGAGAGCAGAGCATTCGCCACTGGCATGGTATATCACACATATGCTAGGGATGACACTTCTATATTGCCTACGGTCTTTGTCCTCCCTGTGACTAGCTACAAACGCTGAGACGGAAAGGGAACAAGGGTTCTCAAGTATAAGGCCAACGACTCTACCGGTAGCGCCCGGCACATAGCCTCCCCGCTTACTCTGTAACCTGATAATCGGAGCTTGATCTCATGCCCGCTCCCGAGTCGGTATCTCGACCTCCCAAAACACGTCGCTTGTCGCTTGCTCTTGCGGACGACATTCGGGCATGTCTCGCAACCTTCGAAACCGCATTCCTGAACCTCCTCACTCGCCCACACAAGCCCTGCTCTAGTATAGCTTCCCGTCGATGGTCCTGGGAGGCCCATTCCACAAGTAACAGGGGTGTACAGCCCCTTGGCATCCGCGCTCGCGCTACCGAGTGTAGCCTGCGCGCCCGCGAAAGCGCAGTCGAAGCCCGATACAATACATTGATTTACGAGCCATACGGGGTCCACCATCGACAGGCACAGCAAGATATGGGTGGTGTCGTAACACTTGCTGCTCTCCGAGGTACGATGCCGGTGCTGCGCTCCCGCAAGCATACATCTGATGCCGATTCTATACAGTTGGCCTAAACTCCTCTGCATACATCAAGCGCGCCAACTGCGTGCCTCCAGCTCCCGGCAAAGGGCAGGATGTCCTAACATACATCTCAAAAGTGTGCGTAGACGTACTACTTTTGGTCACTGAAGCGAAAGACTCATTAGTATGTGAAGGTGGCCGAAAGACCAAGTCGACGCCTGGATCGGATTCTGCAGTGAGGTCTTGCCCAGTTTTATCATGGACCTGGCGCCGATCTAACATTGATTGCCGTACAGTTGGCGCTGTACAAAGGCGCGCGCTACTTGCGGCCATTACAAGGGGATATCGTCCCTCGGGTTCTAGGCGTCTACACTACGGACAGCGGGTTTGCCCTGAACATGGAAGCACCGCATCCTGTGTTCTGGCTTGAAGCTAGTGCTGCAATGCCCGACGTCTTGAAGGCCAAGGTGGTCTCTGCGTACTCTGATCTCCATTCCTGTGGCGTTCTACATGGCGATATCGCACTCCGTCACATCTTGGTCGGTGGTGACGCGCGCGTTACTATTATCGACTTTCAAGAATCACGGGCCCTGGTCGACGATGATGCGGTTGGTCTTGGACGCGCAACTCAAGCCGAACTTGCTGTCGAGATGCGCCGGGTGCGATATATACTCGACTTCGAGGGCGCTCGCGCATATGAAACCTCGAAAACGCGGCGGGAAGCCGAGCGCCGGAAGCGGAACAAAGATAGAGCTCGCCGGCGCGAGCGTTGCCGAATAGAGGGTCTGCCTGTTGAAGAGCTGCGACCAGTCACACTACCCACCGACGACGTCTCGGCGCCACCTATTCACCCTGAGGAGCTTCGCGAGTGGAAAAGGAGCTGCCAATCCACTCCGACGCGAGTCGTCATGCCAGAGATCAGCGAAGGACAGTTGTCCGCGGCTGTCTCCGAGTTCATCGGCATCGTGAAGCAGATGGTTGAGGGCGATGCTAGCTGGAGTCTGTCAAGTCAATCCAGTGCTTCCGCTGTCTCCCAATCTCCCTCTCCGCTAACTTTGGAGCATCCTTTGCCGTCTCGTCTCTCCGCTCCGGACACCACAAAGCTCACCGACACAGAGAGGGCAAATGCCGCATCTCTCGACGCGCAAGAGCCCTCTGGGTGTCGTGACTTGGTCCAGAAGGGAGATGTACAGACCGGCTCTCCGCCTCCCGAAAACCGAGCCGAAATATCTCGCGACTCTTCTCAAGCAACGAGTCCGGATAACTGTCCCTCGATCTCTGTGTACGTGCGCTTTGAAACCATTTTCCCGCCCGAGACGCTTATGGCTTCATTCTTCCTCCAGTACCATCAACCCCCCTGTGTCCTCTGCAATCAAGCGCCCACGAGATCCGTCGGATACGGTGGATTCCGGGCTTGAGGTATCTCCCTCAAAGCGATCGAGACGAACAGACCACCGTGATAAGCCTTCGAGGTAGGGACACGGTTATAGCACTTCACCGTGAGCTCTGGTCAAACGTTGGGCCACAGTCTTGCATGTGTCGTACAGGCTACGACCAGAGCTGGATCCGTATTACGGGATCAGCAATTCGACTGATTGTCCATCACGAGTAACACTCATCCGGTTTCGGCTTCGATTTCATCCTTCGAGACTGCCCTTGTCCTTTATCTCAGCTTGCCAGCCTTCGACCACACATACACATAGGATATCTTGATAATACCTTCGTCTACCGCTGAAGCTTACAATGCACACTTTTCTTCACGCACGGCGCCCCAATTCATCGGCACCCAGTAGACTCCGGTCGTTGACGCACCCTTGCCAGATCGCGGACCGTGACGCATTGGCACGCCTGCAGAGCTTCTCGCCTCAGATACATTTACAACCTTTAGTCTTCTGGATCGCGCATCTAGGCAGTCGGCACGGTTCGTATTCGGAGCATCGTACACAGTCCACGGCGTTTTCTCGCGTCGGGTAAATATAATGGTCACGCCTTCTTGGCCGGTCCGCTCCCAACTTCATATCGGACTTCTTGCATCTTACTTACGTCCTGTCAATCCTCACAGCTCCGAGCACGTTTAGGCACGAGGGCCTCTCAGGCAGGTCTGACTTCTTGTAGACGGTGTGTTCAAGATATCCTTGTATCAAATGTACTTCTTGCTGACTCTGCCATAGGTACCAAATACACATACGATACACCAGACATGATCGAATTGGGCTTGATTGCGTGGTCTACTTAGCGCCTTCTTTGCGGCAAGCTGGTGAACTCGGAATACGCCTCGCACGCGCATGTGATATGTCGTGCTTGTCGTCGTGGGAGGTCGTGGGCGCAGAGCGGGCGACTCATCAGCATACTGACCGCTGTGCAGCATGGCTCTCGGTTGTCGCACTTTCGTCGGTGCAGGTACTGTCGGTGCAAGCGCATGCGCGCATCTTCTTCGGACAGGACGCGCAAGGTGTGATCCTTCTGGCTTTAGTATAAGGACTCCGGTCGCAGAAGCGTCCTGCTCGTCGGTCGTCGCCCAGCTAAGCTAAAGATGTTTGGCCTTGTGCCATCCCTGGTCGGCTTGGCATCCGTACAACTTGCCTGCGCTGTCTCACCGCAGACGTACACGTGGAAAAATGTCAAGGTCAGTCGGCTCCCTCCTGGATCAACCTTCACTCGCTCATCCCTTTACAGATCGGTGGCGGAGGTGGTTTCGTTCCTGATGTAAGTCTGAGCGCCGTACTGTTCTCATTTCGCCTGTATCTGATACTTTTCCAGATTGTGTTCAACCCCAAAGAAAAGGGCCTTGCTTACGCTCGCACTGATATCGGCGGCGCGTACAAGCTCAACTCGGATGATACATGGACACCACTTCTCGACTTTGCTAGCGATTCGACGTGGAACTACTGGGGCGTGGATGCTCTTGCCACGGACCCTGTAACGCCCGCAAATCTATACCTGGCCACTGGTATGTACACCAATAGTTGGGACCCAAACGATGGTATGTCTCCTTTTTGCATGTTACATTTCGCATTATTCACTTGGTACAGGTCAAATCATGATCTCCAAGGACTACGGTTCAACCTGGACAACGTCGAAACTGCCTTTCAAAGTTGGCGGTAACATGCCAGGTAAGTTCACCTTGCATGTTGAAGGTTTCCATAGCGATGCTGATATCCCTCAGGGCGCGGGGTGGGTGAGCGTCTGGTCGTGGACCCGAATAAGAACAGCATTCTCTTCTTCGGAGCCCGCAGCGGTCATGGTCTCTGGAAGTCCACGGACTCCGGTGTGACTTGGACGCAAGTGACGACTCTTCCCAACAAAGGTCAGGCCTTCAGCGCTTCTGGGAACCAAAGCCTTCTGACACGTTGCCATAGGGACCTACGTACCGGACGCCTCTGACACCAGTGGCTACAACTCAGACCCTATAGGTGTTGCATGGGTCACGTTCGACTCGACATCCGGGTCCTCCGGTACTGCAACCCCTCGAATCTTCGTCGGAGTCGTTTCCAACGGTACCGATAACGTCTTCGTGTCCAACGACTCTGGGAGCACCTGTAGAGATTCCGCATGTCTCTCACTGTATCGAGTACTAATTCATTCGTCCCAGGGTCCGCGATTGCCGGACAACAGACGACGTTCTTCCCTCATAAAGGCGCACTCTCTCCTAGCGAAAAGTCTCTGTACATCAGCTATTCTGACGGAGCTGGTCCCTACGATGGCACCAACGGTGCAGTGTACAAGGTAAGCGTGAGAGGGCTGTCTGTGCGCATTGTCTGAACGTTTTCTACCAGTACAACATCACTTCAGGCGCTTTGACCAACATCACTCCCGTCTCTGGCAGTGACTTGTACTTCGGCTTCGGAGGTGTCGCCGTAGGTGCGTATCTTTTAGGTCACGTGTGTCAAGTATCTTCTGAATGTCATTGCAGATCTGCAGAAGCCCGGGACAGTTATGGTTGCGGCGTTGAACTCGTGGTGGCCCGACGGTCAAATCTTCCGATCAACGGATGGCGGGTATGTCTTGTATATGTGTTCACACGGTCGATTCCGACTCTTACGCCACGTAGCGCTACATGGTCCCCACTCTGGGCATGGGCTTCATCAGGGTGTGCGTGCAATGACTACTACGTTCACTTTAGTGCCCTGACCAACATCCTCTAGACCCGAACATCGACAAGTTCTACGCGTTCGATGACACGCTTGCCCCATGGATAGGCCCGGATGCAACTACGACCGAACTTGGCACATTGCAAATCGGTTGGATGATGGAGGGCCTCTCTATAGATCCTTTCGATTCCAACCATTGGCTGTATGGCACTGGAGAGACCATTCTCGGTGGCCACGACCTCCTCAACTGGGACTCGAAGCATAACGTGACGCTCAAGAGCTTGGCCGATGGCATCGAGGAAGAGAGCGTTCAAGCACTTCTCTCCCCGCCAACGGGACCGATCCTCATATCCGCGGTTGGCGACGACGGTAAGTAGTTCCGCTAGGTGATGTGCCCTACTCATCGTCAATAGGCGGGTTTGTGCATACCGATCTTTCGAAGGCACCCGCGCAAGAGTTCCAGAATCCCGGTAGATCCGATATCAACTTGCTCAATCATAATAAAAGCTGACTGCCCTTCCAGTATGGGCCACAACTGCTGACATCGACTATGCTGGGTAGTGTCTTTATAACCGAGCACCTTGCTTTTACTGACGAACGCCAAGAAACAACCCTACGGACATCGTCAGAGTTGGCACAGCTACGGATGGGAGCAGCTTGCAGGTCGCGGTATCAACTGACTCAGGCAACACCTGGAATCAGGACTACGGTATCGCAACAGGTGTCGCTTTGGCTAAGGTGGCTTACAGCGCAAATGCCGACACCATCCTGGTGCGCACACAGGCCGGCGACATCCAAAGGTCCCAGTACCAGTCAAGCTTCTCCACGGTCTCGAGCTTGCCGTCAGGAAGCGTGTTTGCCTCTGAGTGAGCCATGCTGGCCCAGTCGTATTCAGATTAGGTGGCTAACGAGACACAGCAAGCTGGACAACTCGATCTTCTACGGCGCCTCTGGGGCCAAGTTTTACGTGTCTACTGACGGCGGCGCCACCTTCACCGCGAAGGGTGCGCTTGGCTCCTCAACGGCGCCTGTCAAGATCGTCGTCAACCCCGCGCAGACCGGCGACGTGTGGGTGTCCACCGACAAGGGTCTTTTCCATTCGACCGATACAGGCGTCACCTTCACAGCGATCTCTGGCATCAGCCAAGCGTGGGGCCTCGGCCTTGGAAAGGCAGCATCTACGGGCGGTTATCCTGCCATCTTTGTAGCAGCGAACTTGGGTTCCGTCGGCTACTTCCGTAGCGATGATGAGGGGCTTAACTGGGTGCAGGTGCAATCGAGTCTGTACTGCTGTTGAGCTGAGTGCTGAAGAGTCGGGTGCCAGATCAACGATGCCGCACATGGCTTCGGTTCAGCCGCCGCCAATGTTGTCGCTGGTGACCCCCGCATATACGGCCGGTAGGTTCTCGCATGATCAATCACTAATCGAATGCTCAACCTGTATCAGGGTGTACATAGGTACCAATGGTCGCGGTATTTTCTACGTATGTTTTGAGCGGCCACTCACTCTACATGTGCTCAACTTGTCAATCTAGGGCGATGCATCAGGATCTGCCCCGTCTCCGACTGCTACCACGTCTCTCGCAGCATCGTCGACGAAGGCTGCGACGACCACGTCTAAAGCCGCGACGACGACCCAGGCGGCAACCACGACCACATCAAAGGCCGCATCGAGCACAACGACCAAAGCCTCCTCTACGACCACGAGCAGTGCATCGACGGCCACTCAATCAGCTTACGGTCAATGTGGAGGCACGTGACTCTCCTTTCTCTTTGCATGGTGGCACTGACAGGATCATGCAGGTACGGGGTGGACCGGGGCGACCGCATGCGTCTCTGGCTACAAGTGCACTGTTCAAAACGCGTTCTACTCTCAATGCGTCCCGGCCTAGATAACTCGAGGTTGTCGCAATTTACTGTGTTTCGGATGTATGTTCGTGTATCTGAGGGTCATCTCGATAACAATCATCACTCGCTGTTGCTATCATATTCTCTCTGGCGAGATCTCTCCCATTCCTAGACGACACATGAGCCCCTGCATGCGCGTATCAGAACGCGTCATATCCCTACCTGAAAGATAGATCGTCGGGCTCCGATCGGCACACCGCGGCACTTGGTCAGGTCGAGTTGCGTTAGGCTCGGGCAAGCGTCGATGACAGCGTACAACCCTTCACCTAGAGCATAGTGAGCATAGAGACATCAGAAGTCGGAGGGGGTATGCATACTTGTCATCCTCGTAGCAGCAACATCCAATACGCGCAGTGATCGGCAAGCGGCAATGTAGGGCACCGCTTCGTCGTCGACGTTGGTTCTACCGAGAGACAGAATCTCGAGCGCCGGCGCGCCTTCTTCAAATGCAGCGAGGTCGTCCGATCGCAAGGAGGTCAACCCTGTAAGATTCAGAATCTATGCAAGCCGTGAGAACATGACGATGTATGCCATAGACCACTTGTACCAGACCTTGATGCGACCCCGGATAGATTCCAGTAAAGTCATAATGGGCTGTCGACGTTGTCCGATCTTCGTATTGCCGACCAGGTTTAGCGTTGTTACATCAGGCCCGATGGCTTTGTTCACAGCGACCAAAACGTCGTCCGTCATGGTAAGAGCCGATGCATTCCCCAAGCCGACAGATTGTCCCCGGTCTCCGCCCAGTGCACCGATGTTCAGAGTTTGCAATCCCTGTGCTCGCTGCAGAAGCCTAATGAGATGGTTTTTGGGTATTTCCGTTGAAGTGAGAGAGAGCTTCTCCAAACTACCGAGGATCTCCAAAGAAGCAGGCGACAGCGTCTTCACGCGAGTGAACGATAGATCAAGTCGGCGGATGCTGGGGCAACAGGCGAGAATAGCGTTGATGGAAACGTCTGAGAGCGCAGTCTGACGCAGCTTCAACGTGTGTAAGGCCGTCATTCTGAACGTATCCATATCCAGATCGTTCTGCAGTTTGGTGAAGAGGGCGTCTGTCTACAATGGTCAGTCAGTGGAGAAGGTTCGGAAGCAGTGCAATCGGCAGCACTTACCCAAGCCGGAATAGCGACCTTAAGGGCTCGCAGCGTTTCCTTGCGGGCCTTCAGAAGGGGAGAAAGATGGGCTGGCATGACCGCCGTGTAGTTGAGATTGAGCGACTCTAACGCAGCACAGTGCTTGGTGACGGCGTTCAACGTCCGAGGTCCAACTCGTGTGCACTGTCTGTAATAATCAATACGTTAGTTAGCTTTGGAAGATAGGGTATGCGTGTCCAAGTACCGTAGGTTCAGTGACTGTAAGAGGGGAAGTTTCGAGAGCACTTTCTCGAACCCGACATCTTCTATCTTATCAAAACCAAGCAGCGAAAGGCTAACGAGCGACGTCGACATGAGAGGAACCGCGGCGACGACGTTTTTGTTCATCCCACCGCCGAAGTCGCTCGACAAAACTAAGGTGCTTCCCCGAAGAAAGTGCTTGAGTAACTTGACTGAGCATGGCGCTGCTGTACCACGGTATGATAGCGTACATCTCTCAAGAGATCTGATGATAACAAGTTCGGATGCGAGGCCGTGAGCGCCGCGAGGAGACGCGGAATAGTGGTATCCGGGGCCAGCTTCAGCTCCTCGCTCGCAGTCTTCCAGCGACGATTAGGTTGCCAGACATTTGGCTCTGAAGAGAATGAGTTGAATGAGGCTGCGAATGCCTCGATACACAGCGAGCTCAATGAAGGCACGCTGACGACGACGCGGCGTGTCGAATATGCGGCGGAGGACGGCGCATTCACTTGTGCGGATGGCGTGTCTGCTTCAGTTGGGGCGCCGATACCCCCTCCCGCTGTACGACGTCGTTTCGCAGGTCGACCAGACGACATGGTGGCTACAGTGAGAGTGCCACAGGTCCGGATCAGCTGACAACTGATGCCATCGCGGCGAGTTCCCACACTATAACTCTGACACTCTTCAAGGTTAGGAAACGATAAAGACTCTGATACAACTTTGGCTCCACGACTGTACACAGGATCCTAGACACAGGATCCTAGAGTTAAAGCGAAAAGATGTGATAATGATAGCGATGTCAAGTAGGCTTATTAAACCACTTCCTCAAGTTCGTTTGTCCATTTGCGTCAACAGCACGTTTGACCTGATCCCGTTCCACCATACACCTGTACCGCATGAACTGTCGCGCCGTATTCGAGCCTCCTGGAACGGAGATAAAAGTGCGCGAGTCCACCATGCTCTCGAAAGTCTAGATTATGATGAGTTTGGTGCACTAAGGAAGGGGAACGTGAGGCTTACTGCGAAGAATACAGAGCGACTGCAAGCAATCATGCCGACACCGCCGCTCGCAACGACCGCGAGCGCGGCCTGGCTGGCAGATATTTGTCGCCGGCATGACTCGTACAACATCTCGAAGGTGACGGCGTCGTTGCCGTTTGTACGTTCATGATTGGCCGCGATGAGAAGGCAGAGCGCGGGGTATGGTAACGCTTGGAGTGTGTGAGCTAGGGACAGCGTTATGTGTATGGAGGGAGACGTGAGACGTACAACTGAGCGATCCGAAGGCAGGCAAGATGCGTTGCGACTCTATGCTATTGAGCAAGGAAGCCGCAGCGGGCCACGGCTTGCTGGGTGCGAGCGCTAAGATCGGGGGTGCCTGCAATGCATCAATATCGAGTCTGAAGATGCTTGCTTTTCACTCACCATCACCCGCGCAAGTAGTCGTGAATCCCTGACAAGCCCAAATGTCTCCGACATAGCCTCTTTGACTGACCGATCGGCTAAGAAGCGCTTTACGGCGAGCACCCACAGGTCCGTCCATTCTTCCGAAGGGGCCGATATAGGCGCTAGGAGCGCGCTACGTGCAAGGTCCATCCAACTGTGAGGGGTTGCCGTACGCAACATGCGTCCCGAAAAGCGACTCTTCACGCGTTTCTCGAGCATGTTGAGGGTATCCACTCGGGTGGTGACGCCGACGATAGCGATCCCCCGTGTTGAGGTGCCTGCGCGACAGCTCTGTGCCGTGTCTAGCAGGCAGTAAAGAAGCGCTTGTCGGCCATGCTCAGCAAATAAGTCGAAGGCGTCAATAATGATGATTGTTGGTCGTCCGAGCGATGGGAGAGAGGAGATGAGAGTTGGCAGGTGTGAAGGCGCCTCGGCGCCTTCGTCCTCCGCGGACGCGTCCTCGTCGTTCTCTAGCTCAGAGCCAAAGGCCCTGTTGATTTGTTTCGCAACCTGCCGCGCAATCTCGCGCAGAGCAACCCGGTCATTCCGCTGAACGTGCCCAGACAGCCGTACGATGATGGGTTGATTAGGTAGAGAACCCAGAACATCTTCAACTATTGCGGTCTTGCCGCTTCCAAGGGGGCCGATGAGTAAGCAGCTATTCCCCTCGCCATGTTCAACGGTACCCTTGAGAAGATTCGACAGATCCGTCTTCGTGGACAAATTAGGAGGCTGATGTTCGTTGTCGCTGTCTTCAGAGCATATAGGCAACTGTCGAAGGGCGCATAAAGAGGCGCGCTTCTGTTCAGCGAGACATTGATGTAGGTGTTCTGGGAGCGCTGAGGGTAGCCGAGTAGATGTCGCCTGAGATCGCAACGGTGCAGGACGTTCGTTCTCGGGCAACGGAGTAAGCGACTCGTGCTCGCGTTCAGAGAGCGTTGGCAATTCGGCAGGGGGTGTGGGAGGAGATCGTGTGTCGGGTGGGGTGGGCAGGGCGTCAACACTTTGTTGCCGCGTACGTCCGCGGCCACGAGTGTTTGAGGGTACCTCGACGAATACCGCCTTAGAGGATGGTCGAGCTCGAAGTGAGCGCGGAGCAGGTGAAGCTCGAGGCGCAGCGCGTGCTACAGCTTTGGATGGTCCTGGTTTCGCAGTCGCGCGGCTATGAGCTCGCGGAGCCTTGATGACGGGTTCAGGAGATGACAAGAAGTCGACTTCATCCCGAGTGTCGTCGGATGAAGGCTCTGGAAGAGTAGCCAGTTGAGTGGAACGAGAGGGTGGGGGTTTCTTCGCTGCAGTGGTAACGCGCGTCGCCGCGGATCTAGGACCTCGTCTTTGGGATTGGACCGCGTCCGAGTCGTCCGCATCTGACAGAGTAGCGGCTGAGCGGGTAGTTTTGATGCGCGAGGGCCCAGGGGCATTGGGTATGGATTTCGCCGCGGCTAGCGAGCGCACACCCGGCGGGTGACCCTTGCGCTTAGGCGGCGGTGGTGCGGGGATTTCAGATCTGACCGAGGGAGATGGCGGGCGAACGACAGTGTTCGCGGTTCCCGCCCGACCTTCTGCTTGCTCCCGCCTGTACTCGGTGCATGGGTCGCAGAACCAGTCTCCCTTCGGCTTTCTCCGCAAGGCAGGTTCCAAACATCCCATGTGCCATGCGCGGTCACAACGATCACAGAAAAGCATTTTACTCTGCCGGTAATGTCAGAAATCCCAACCACAGACTGCGAATCGAACTGGACTCACGCCGTTGTCGGCTCTGAGACACTCTTCGCACTCTGTGCATTCGTTACACTGCCATTTGTAGGTCTTGATGATTTCTGCTGCCTCCGCATTCAATCCATCGCAAGACGGGTGTACTACATCACTGTTAACGCGGGTACTTGTGGAGACAGGCTCTCAGATACACACCGGTCTTATTGCATTTCGTGCATTGCACCAAACTCTCCACTTTGCTGCCCACCCGCTTCACTTCGCTACATTCATCGCATGTCGCGCCACGCTTCGTCTGTGTCTGAGTGGGAGCAGGCGGCAGGGCGAGTTCATCCTCCGAATCAGATGCTGCAGGTACAACTCTGCGTATGATAGGTTTCTTCGCAGTGACTTTCGCAGGTTGAGCGCGCCTCTTGGCTGCCGGTGCCTCTGCCGGCGCTGGGGCCTTTCGCTTGGGAGGCATGGGAGCGGGACGATGTCAGGAAGAGGGAAGGTGGTGGTGGTGGTGAACCAGGACGCGTCTTGTCTCATCAACGCGTTCAACTAGGACGCGGTCACGCGCTGAGCGCGAACCACAGCTCGCGACGCGTTCCGTCGGATCTGCGGGTGGTTTTCGGTGTGGTTAACCACGCTACCCGTCTTTTCGCGGGCAGCGCGTTTTATATTGATTCAAAGAGGGTACAGGATATGTAAGGGCCGAGAAGATACGGACTGATGGCTATGATCTACTAGATTGAGAGTTCGTGACGTGGATAAGGAGCGTAAGGTAGGGAGGAGGTGAAAAGCTGAAGACGGGGGACATGGATAACGGACATGAGTCGGATAGTATATTGGCATAACTTTAGAATGCGTTCTTAGTCTTCAAGAAAGTAACCATGAAAGCGATTGTGATGGAAGCAGTAAGCGAAAACACAATTGCGGCCTGAGCAACCCGGCGCCGGCGCGGGGCCACTTGGGACGATGTCGACGGGTCAACCTCAACGTAAGTCGGAGGGCGCTCGTTGTCTCGTATCTGGGCAGACATGTTAGTGTGCGCGAGAGAAGAGGAACTCACCGCGAGCTGCATCTCCGCGTCATGCGCCGTGCGACGACCATTCCACCGAACCAGAGAGCGAAGCGTGCCCCGTATGGGCTCAAGAGCCGGCGGTGGACGCGCTGTCACCTCCTCATGCGCGGAAGCCACATCATTGGGAAATATCCCGCTCGTGAGAAGGTTGTTGCGCTGGTTGTGGCTTCCGTACAAATTTTCAAAGTCTGCGCGAGAAGTATACGTCGGAGCGGGGCTGGTCGGAAGCGGTAAAGATGGCCCGCTCGGGTTGTAGACAATAGACTCCGAAGGAGACTGCAGCTCGTAGTAAGAGACAGATCCAGCCGGACGAGACTCACCTGTCCAGTTGGTGTCGACACCGCCGTTAGTAGAACGCGCCGGGCGTTGTACTGCATGAAGGAGCCGGGCGACAGAGTTGACCAGCGAGACGTAAAGCGATGACATTGTCCTTGAATGTGGCGGCAGAGACAGTAGCAGAATGAATGTTGAGATTGTAAGGTGGCGGAAGAGAGACTGGGGAGGTTAGAGAGAGTGGCGGACGCAGTGCAGGGGGAAGATGGGATGCCTTCATCTGGTCAAAGTTCGCTTGCCTTTATCCCCACAGATGACTCTTCCTAACCACAGGCACACGGTAACGTGACTTCCGTCACATGCATTGTCGCAACGGACGAATTGGCTTCTACGGGACTGCAAAGACAAAGAGAACAAAGGGATCAAGGTCCAATTGACACGGATTCAATAGAACCATCAAAAGAGGCGGTGGTTATTCTTTGTGTCCTCAAAACCACTCGAAGTCGGGCCAGTCTTGGAGGCCGGCCACTTGTATATGACGGCATCATCTGTACAAAAAACAATACATCGAGCCCTGGGCGAGTCGTCAGATGTATGTCCTGTCATCTATGGCTCATATGTACGCACCAGTAAGGTCGCCGTGGGACCGCTACCGCTTGAAAACCCTCAGCGTGAACGGCAGCCCTTCAATACACTTCCACACGACCGCGATGGCCGTCCCGCACACGCCCACTGTGGCCCACCATGAGATGGCTTCAAGCGTGCGCGCTATTTGTAGCTCTCTTGGGCCGCGAAGATGTAGCACAGTCACTGGAATATGTACCAGCACGAGCTGCAGCAGGTTGAATGGTGCTGGGAATACGTGTGGGCTGGCATACAAAGCGAGCGCCGCGATGAAGCGCTGTCGCGCGCGCGCCCCGACAGGTTTCGAGTAACGCTCCCATGCTTCGACCGGTGTGTGCATTGCAGCGCGAAGAGTTGCTCCGTAAAGTACGGTCACCACCGTCGAAAAGAGGATGAGTACGAGCATGATGATGGCCAAAGCCAGAAATGCTTGACGCGTTTCCATGGGGGAGGCCATTATCTTGACGAAAGGTGTCCCCCCATTCATGTGCATTGGAGGAAGCCACGGCAAGTCGTCCACTAGCGAGACGGATAGTAGGTATAGCGTGACCAGTAGACCTGGTACCCAAAATAGGAATGCGGGCTGCACGGTATGGGTGAATTCGCCGTTGAGTAACTCTGCCAAGGGCAAGACGAAATCGGGTTTGAAAAGCAAGAACGGCGTTGGTGTGCGTGGGGTGTGCAAAAGCAGGATATGCAGTATGAAAGCAGCAAGCAGGATCGCATAGGCGAAACCGCCAGGATATGGGGCCGAGGGTAGTGTTGCGAGGAAAGCAAAGGCGACAAGAAAGCTTGGTATCACGTTTGTCGAGAGACGGCAGACGGTTGCGACAGCGTAGATGGTGATCAAGATCCCGCGCAAGCCGATGGTCAGGTATAAATTGCTGAGAACGGGGCGGGGTGGGGGCCAAAGCAGATAGTGTGCGAGGAGAATGAGGTATATGACATGCAAGAGCAAGTCTACGGCGTGCATTATCCTGTTGTGACAGTAAGCGCTCGTCCGTATGACCATTAACAGGTGACGTACCTAGGGGATGCAAAACTCGTGACAATTTGGCTAATACGCTTCGCAGTCGTAGGGGCAGGATTCGCAGCCCATCCGTACTTCCACGTATGGAGATAGCTCATTATGATGAGACTGTCCGTTAGGAGCAAGGATGGCGCATCGCGGTCCGCGAGCATATCTACCACTAACGGAGGTTTCAGCATTGAGTGCCATGCACTACATTGAGCCCCCACTGCAGTACTAACCTCGAATCATCTTTGCCGAGCCTATCTCCAAAGGGAACGGGGTCCATAGACAAGTCTCGAGTTCTAGCGTTGTCCGCGGCTGCGAGCTGAACGTCGCCCAGGCATTGAGAGCTTGTGTCTCATACTGGTACTTGTCCACGACGTCGCGAGTTTCGTCCGACCACGTCTCCCAGACGTCCTTCTTGCGCGAAACATGGACAGGCCGTCGAGCGAGTGCGTTGAGTTGTAGTAGCACAATGAGCTCATATGCAGCCTTCTCAATGTCATCCACATGCGTGATCATGGAGAGCGCTGTGTTGAGGTCATCGAGCCCATGCGTTTTGACATGGTCCACAGCGACAGAGACGGGCGGACGCGCCCCAGCGTGCATAGGTGAAGCTGAAGCTGTACGAGCTTCATTGTCTGCCAGCAGCGGAGTGCGCTCACTGGCTGGCTCCGCGCTTTGAACGTCGGTCATGGGAGTAGGAGTAAAGATGGGATGATCATGGCCGTAAGTATGACGACGAGATGGAAGTACGCGCTCTAGGTTCAAACGCCGCGCGCTCGGAGACGCGTCGAACGTCCCACGCGACTTGAACACCACTCCTCATGTCCACCGTCGCCACACCCTTACTCGACCAGATCGAGGCCGACGAAGAAGCGCCGCTCAGTCAACAAGCACCTCAGACGCGAGGACCGGCCAGAGAACCCGTCGTCCTGACTCCCGGTGGCGGCGGCGGCGGGGCAAGAGCTCTTGACCGACTCGCAAGCACACCCAGCGATGCGGAGGCGGGTCTTGCTGGGATATTTCGTCAAGTGCGTCTAGCGTATCTGTGCCGTTGTAAATTCATCCCTGATCTATATGGCAGTCCGCCCACCCAGTCGCTTTACTGACTCTATATCTGTTTCGACTTCTCGCACTGGGCTCTTACATTCTGTCTGGCTTCTTCCCGAACTATTATGTCGTTTCTGCGGTTGTGATCGTTGTGTTTCTTGCTATGGACTTTTGGAACACGAAGAATGTTGCAGGACGCACTCTTGTCGGTCTGCGTTACTGGAACCAAGTCGACGAGGACGGCGAGAGTTTCTGGGTGTTCGAAAGTCGCGACGTAAGTCTGAGCTTCACGCTCCTCAGGTTATGGCGAGCTCTGAACATGCTTCCGTAGCCCTCACGGCCGGCGAACCCTATAGACTCGAGGTGTGTGCTGTACCTAACTTGACATCCAAACTTGACATACTGAGGGGTGAATCGCAGGATGTTCTGGGTACGCATCTCAACCTTCGGGTCGACTGACACAGTCTGATCTACGAACGTATAGGTTGCACTCTACACGTTCCCGGCGTTGTGGACAATCCTGCTCATTGTCTCATTCCTCAAACTGAGCATATCTTTCATACCAATCGTCGGTCTGGCGCTCGTCTTCAATATGACCAACGTTGTCGGATTCACCTACGCGTATGTCCTTATGTCCTACTTTCCTTTTTCCATTATCCAGAGTCTCACCGGCGTGCAGAGACCGCGATGCAAAGCAGAAATGGGCTGCGAATGCGGCCGGCTGGAGTATGGGTATCGGCGGCATTGGAGGCCAGTTACTCTCTGGAGTTGTCAAGAATAGCGTAGGGCGTGTCTTCCGTTAAGAGTGTGTGTACAGCAATCGAATACTCAGAATACCGTGTTGGATTTGTTCGAGAAACGATTTGCCCATGCTGGGACACTAGGGACAGTAAGGAGGGCTTCATCGGGCGTTTAAAACGGATGGCCCTTAGAGGAACCAGGTGTACATATCGACTATAGATCTTGTGATGCCTCTCTACGGTCTACACACTATGCAAGATATATAGACATGAAATCTAAGCATCAAGGCCCCATTTTTACGACCAACTTTCACACGCGGAAGCAAATACCGCTTAGAAGAGGAAGACCTACACGTTCCCAATGAGCATATGGTTCGAGCACAGCTTCCAAGGCGACATACCTGATCAACAAGTTTGCTGACGGTGCGTGGCGCCGGGTAATTAAGCTCGGCCAGGTGCTTCCTGCGAAGATGATCAGATCATCATCATCTCCAGACGTGTACAGCAAACAACGCACTTCATGGCCGTCATCATCGGCGGAGGGCCTGTAGGGCGTCCATACATATGTCAGACGCATTCCCAAGAGCGCCAGCTTCGGAAGCGACGTACCGCACAGCAAAACCTTGATGTCTTCGCTTGTCGGCGGCATGTGCTCCGCGATTTGGTCCTTGCTGACGAAGCCGACACCGCCAGTCCAGCCCGCAGGAGGATTGTTGAGCACGTAGTAGACAGTGAAGCGGTTCGGGTACTTGGCAGCCAACTCATCGAGTTCTTGCTTAAGCAAGATGTCCTCCTCGTTCACGTTGGCGTAGATGAGGCTGAACTTGGTCTTGTCGGAACTGTCGCGGAGCGCCGTACGTGTGACCTGAAGCATGGGGGTAATACCTGTTCCACCAGCGATCATACCAATGTGGCGAGACAGGTCCTTGCGGTAGTTGAACTGGCCCTTGGGTCCCTTGATGCGGACATGGTCGCCGACCTTGAGAAGCGAGATGTAACGGGAGATATTACCCTTCTCATACGCCTATAGACACGTTGTTAACACGATGCATTATAACGTGAAGATGGGGATATGCGCAGGGTCACGCGCGTACCTTCACGAGGAGATCGAAGTGGCCGCGGTCATCGTCATTACTCGTAGGGGTGTACGAGCGCATAATCTCCTTGCCGTCAATCTCGGCAGACACGGAGATGTGCTGGCCAGTAGGGAGGCCGAGCACATCGTCCGGGTGCGGCAGTTTGAAGCGGTAGCTGCAGGTGCACATGCATGATCAGTAACGTACTCGATGATATTGAGCGTATGTGTTGTTGAACCGCATGGGGGACGCCGCAGCGCGATGTAGGAACGTGTGGCGCGAGGTTTAAAGACGTACATGGCTGTGTTGGGGGAGATGATGATCTTCTCCACGAGGGGGAAAGATTTCCACTCCTTCGGGTCGAGGACTGGCTTGCGCTCTGTTGGGGAAGCGCGTGAGCCAACAGAGAGCGCGGAGTGATACAGAGGACTCGTCCGTACTCGAACCACTGGCGAATGTTTTGTAAAGCACAAAAGTCGTGGCGAGCGTGACGAAGATCGCAAGCGGTGCTTGGAGATCGGCAGGCGTCAGGTTATACTGCTTGAGCAAATCCTGCACGAAGTCGGGGAGGACAGCGGCCATTTCTTGTGATGTATGAGCTGGCGGTTCGTCTATGATGTCGTCCAAGCCGTAGAGGATGAGCCTTCTGATGTCGTATCCCGCCTCACGCAGTTTTTGGCCCAAGAAGCGTGAAGTGGCGAGGAGGGTCGCGAAGACGGTGAGGAAGGAGGTCAGAAAGACCAAATGCTGGACGAAGGCCATCCGAGAAGAAGTTGGGGATTACCCGCGCGGTTGAGCGTAATGAACCATATCACGCCTGGAACCGGTTTAGCGCGGTCTCGGTTCGGCCTCGCTTTCAGGTTGTTAGCTGGGAGTCTTCTCTTTCCTATCGCAGCACGATACTATTGTGCTGTCGAATACATGCCAGCGCTTCGGGAAACGCCCGAAGGCTGCGACCACAGACTTCGGGCCGGACAGTGATGTGCTTTGGGACAGGCACGTGCAATCGTGGTTCACAGTGCCAAGTGCGCGGTTCGAGTGCTCCGTCTCTCTTGCTCCGCCCACGACGAGGCCAACGCTCAGCAGCGCCGTTTCTCTCTTCTTTCCCGTCGACTCTCTTGTTCGGCGTCTCTCTTGACTCGTTAGATTACGCAGGCGTTATCTTCGGTCGCATTTTAAGATATAAATCAATATGCCCGCCCCTATTCTGGCACCAGCTCCACGTTCTGGCCCCCATGCACTCGGGAAACCACGCCGCAAAGGGCCGCCTTCCGGCCTGCACATTGACACACCTGTGGCGAATCCGGGCCTTCTCATCGTGCCCGATGAAGACTCGGCGACAACTTCAGCCTCTGCCATCACTTCTGCCACAGACGACTCGGAATCCTTCCAATTCCCCCCTCCCAAGCAACGCTCCAGGAACATGAAAAAACTATCCCTCTCCATCTCCTCCGCCCAGTCCTCGACAAGCTCGCTCGTCCTCCCCGCCCCGGAACCGCCCAAGTCCGCGCTCCCAGAGCAGGACAGGCCCCGGCGGACGTCCGTGGCGTCTCTGCCCGTCCCCACAACTACCGCTGCCCTCCTACGCAAGGAGGAAGACGGCGGCTCCCCAACCGCGCCATATGTCGATGGTCCCATCGAAATCCTGCCCAGGATATGGCTCGGTTCAGAGGACAACGTACACAATTGGCAGGGTCTCGTCGAGCGTGGGATCGCAAATGTGCTCAATGTCGCACGGGAGGTCGTATCCCCATTCGACTCGGCCTCCTCTCGGCCGCTCCGCTCCATTTCCTCCACGCCAAACTTGAAGGACGAGAGCAAACCAAGCGATACCTACTACCCGGCCAATAAACTCACCGGCCGCCCTGGCATGCACTATCTCAAACTCAAATGGTCTCACGGCCAGTCCGATCTCGTCCAGAACGGTTTCGCGGACGCGATGGCTTTCGTCGACGAAGCCCTCGCACGCAATGAAGGCATTCTCGTTCAGTACGTGCCTGTCCCACTTGCCGCCGCTCCCAGGGTCTGACATCTTTCTCAGCTGTCAATTGGGCATTTCCCGATCAGCCACGATGGTGATCGCACTCGTCATGCGGGCCGCCGCGATGCGCTCGCCTTTCGTACCCAAAGAGGTTCACGACCTCAAGGGTATGCAGGCCGCGTATGCCTACGTCAAATCCAAAAGTAAATGGGTTGGACCCAATATGTCGTGCGTACTTTGACCGTGTGCAAGCGCATCAGTGACTGATCCGAACAATCACCCCCCTTGTCACTGCGGCAATCACATCTGCAAACAGGCTCATCTATCAGCTCCTGGACTATGAGCGCACACTCAAGGCTGACACGGACTCTGCGTCAGAAGACATGGACGCCGCTGCACAGGACGAGGAGTGGGGCCGCCGACGGGCGATGCTTGACGAAGCGCCGTCAGAAAGCGAACCGGAACAGGAAATTTCCGAGGTTATGCGGGAAGCCAAAGCACTAGACAAGGCCATGGAGGACCGCATACTGGCCCGCAAGTCCTCGGCGTCGTCTGTGGCGTCTGGAGGTTCGGGTATTGGCATGGGCGCAGCCTGGCGCAGTCGCTACGCCCGCAAGCGCGCAGGCTCAATTGCCAGCAACGCAACATCTGGTAGTGCGATCAGCGAAGATCTCGTCGAGGTCGACGAGGAGCAGGAACTACTTGGCGTTGGCGGCGGATTCGATGGCACTAGCATCGGCACAATGTCGACCTCCACGTCCGCCAAATTTTCGGATTCAGTCGCTCCTGACTCCAGCGAGGATGAGCCGGAGGCGGATGCCGATGGCGCGCAGTTCGCCACACCCGTACCCAATCGCCGGATGGCCAAGCCAGACATGCGGTTGAAGCCGCCTCCGGCGTTCGGGAAGAACAAGCTGCGCAGTGTACCGCCCTCCGCTCCTGCTCAGCGCCAGAGGTTCACTCTCGCGCCCCCGCCGTCCGCCACGCGGTCGTCATTCGCCTTACCTCCTGTGCCAAAGACTGCACATCGCTCGACCTTCAATCTGCCCCCACCGCCGAAGACTGCGCATAGATCAACCTTTGATCTTGGCCCTCCACCGCGGACTGCGTTCAAGTCGAGCTTCAGTCCTGCAAAGACGCTTCAGCCTCCTCAACCGTCCATGCTGTCAAAGTCTTCTCGCCGTCGACCCGCTCCGATTGGGCTTCTTCCCACAGTACCCGATTCACCGTCCGGCCCCGTAGTCATCGTGCAGGAAGACGATATGTCTAGTTCAGATGCAGATAGCGTTGCTTCAAGACCCAGACAGCGGAAGGAGTCGCGCAGGCCCGCCTTGCCGCCGCTCCACCTTCGTGTCGCAACAAACGCACCCTCTGCATCTCCTGCGTCATCTGCCTCTGCGCGTTCCGTGTCAAGTGGGAGCTTATCATCATCGGCTTCGGGACAGTCCTACCGTTCCGGACGAAGCTCTCTTTCCACAAGTAGTTCGGGGCTCCCGCTGGCAACACCGAGTCAAACACTCTTTGTCTTCCCTCCCGAAATCCCAGGAAATGGTGCACGGACGCCGAGCGCGATGACCCTAACGAATAACATGGTGCCATTTCCGCCGATGTCGACACCCCGTGTGGCCAGTCTCTCCAAGGCAGGAGGTCGCCGAAGCTACATCGGTGTCGTCGCACCGCCGACGCCCACGACCGCACATTCGCGTGTTGACGCGCGCGGATACTTCGGCAAGCAGTAACAATAACCCATGCCTGTACTCAACACCACTGTGTGTATGCTCTGTTCATGCTGTTCTCCAACCCAACCCCGTCTCGATAAATCTAAGTAATCATGGATCTACTCTATTGCATTCGTCTTCACGCTCCTCCCCATACATCTTGGGCCGTTGCAAGGACTCTTTCGGCATTCGACCTCTTTTCATTATCATCTCGTTTCGTAACATCGCTATTGTTCCGGTCAATATCATCCGCGACACTTTCTCCCTTGTGTATACTTTATCCACATTCCCAGACCCCGTGCTCAGTTGCATATCCTCCTTTCCCGCCTTCGTCGCCTCTTTGTTCCCTTCCCAATTCGCGCTTCGCTGGGCCGCCTCGCTTCGTCCATGCTCGTCCCAATGCCTCGCATCGACTGTCGCACGCACCCGTGTATCATAGTTTGCACAACACCACAAAGCTCATACAGTAACATACCTTGATGGAAGCACTGGAATGCAATGACTGTTGAACGTCCTACAATGTATCGCGTGTTGCCATGAGATGAGTAGTCTATGTACATATCTTGTGACCGGGAAGGCAACTCGGTACAGCGCGACAAGATGTGCTCGACGTCTAGTCCATCACTCATGGGCTCCGATGCGATGCTTGGATGGAGAGGAGAGCGGGTGCCACATATCGCCACTTCAGGTAAATAAAGGTCGCGAGCCGGCCCGACCTCGCCGCTAGCGGGCACTGACGCAACATGTCTTCTGCCACCACCACCTCTAGCCTTCCACCTTCTTCGCGGTCTCCATCTCCTGCCCCAATCACGAACCGCGATGCCTCCGCTACCGACGAGTCACATAATGAGCTAGATGAGACAGAAATCAAAGTGTGGCGTACGCCTAACGGAATACCAACTGCCGGTACTCACGCTATTGTCAGCGCCGACTGGGAGAAGCTGAGGAGCGCAAGCAAGAGGGTACCGACCACTTTCGCGCACGTCGTTACGCTGAGGCCCTAGTTGCCTATCAAAGCGCCTTGGGTCTTCTACCCCGACGGCTTGAACAACGCGCGCAGGACAAGGGCAAAGAGCGCGCAGTGATTGCGCCCGAGACCGATCCGAGCGACGAGGATGCCGAAGAATCATCTCCCGTCGCTCCACTATCGCCACTTGAGCAAGATTGTGCTAAGGCGCGCGCAGTGTTGAATGCAAACATCGGAGCCTGTCATGTAAAACTGGTAGGTGCAGTCAATGATCGTGCATACCACACCGCTCATGTCGCGCTAGGAAGAGTGGTCAGAGGTTGTGACTGCATGCACCGCAGGTAAATCCCGCCAACATCCCTAAATATCGACGCAGCTCATAGTTGTTATTTTCGATAGCAATCGCAGACGACCCAGCGTATGCGAAAGCGATTCAGCGTCGTGCACAAGCGAACGAGAAGATCGGTTCTTGGTCCGCACTCTCAAGTGCTCAAGAGGGTATGTGCACCTTATATCCTTGCATGCGACGACTGACGATGATGGCGTAGACTATAATAAACTACTGGAAATCTGTCCCAAAGGCTCTGCCCAAGCCCGTGAAGTAGAGCGCGCATTACGCTCGCTCTCGCCTCGCGTAGAAGCCGCCCAGAAACGGGAGGTAGACGAGATGATGGGAAAGCTTAAAGGGATCGGCAATACAGTACTTGGTCAGTCGTTATTAACTCGTTTGATGATGAGAGCTGATGCATGCCATATATGTAGGAAAGTTTGGTCTATCCACGGACAACTTCAAGTTCGAGCCCAATGGCCAGGGAGGCTATTCGATGAACTTTGTACGGTGATGGAGTTTGCATGCGTCGGAGACAAGCTACTGGAACGTAGACATTCCATCATACATCCGACAAATTTGGATATCCTACGCAGATGTGAAAGCGCCGCACTCGATCAAGAGGTCTTCTGCCTTTCGAAGCTCATCCTTGAGATCGTGACGCCAGACCTCTTCCCAAAGTCGGTCGAGATCCTTGATCCTTCCCTCATCTGTAGGATCCGAGGGTCCGTGACCCTCATATGCATCGCCCGCGTACTTGCTTTGGTTGGCTGTATACGATCCGCGTGGAACACGGACGGTCTGATAAGCCTCCATTACCGCCTAGTACACGAAAATCAATGTATGATCTTTGATGTTAGAAACTGTCCGGTTTACCTCGATGTTTGCCGAATTCGTCTGTGGGCTGGACAGAAGACGAGCCAGGATGTATGCGTCCTCAATCCCACAGCCGGCGCCGGCTCCGAGATGAGGCAATGTAGCATGCGCCTATCATGTGGGTTATAGCTCTGACACTTCCGGCAGAGTGCATGGTTTACTCACAGCATCACCGATCAGAGCGACCTTGCCTTTGACATACTTATCTATGGTCGGGTATAACGCATGAATCGACCACTTGCTTGGGGACTTGATGCCCTTAAGCATTGCCTGAACATCCGGCCCCCACCCTTCGAAGTCCTTGAGCATCTCCGCCTGCGGAACGTCCTTGACCCACTCTTCTGGGTTACTCTCGTAGCCCATCGGACGCGAAAAGTCGGTGGTGAATGCCACGATGTTCAGTATCTTGTTGTCCCGAATAGGGAAAGTGATGAGATGTTTGTCTTGGCCGTACCAGCAAAGCGACTGCAAGAAGTTCGTCTTTGCATCTGCAGCCCGAAGCTCTTCGATCGGCACGAGTCCGCGATAGGCAGCGGTACGAGTAAAGACGAGCGATTCATCGCGCGCCCCCTCGGGTAGGCCGAGTACGAAGCGGCGGACGGTACTCTTCAGACCGTCGGCTCCAATGACGATGTCTGCCTCGTGTGTTGTGCCATCCGCAAACTCAAGACACATCTGGCCCTGCTCGAGTCTCCGGATCCTTGTGCAACGTTTCTTGAAGTGCTCTGTGATCATTGAATGGTCGATGTTGTCCGCAAGTGCTTCCAGAAACCCCGCGCTAACGATGATGAGTTTCAGATAGATTGGGTAGGAGTCAAGAAATGCATGATGTACCGATGAAGCCCCAAACCCCCATCGTTCGGTCCTTCAGGATACTAGGTGCACATTCAGATCAACCGGGATGATTCAGAACTCGACTGCATACGTCCAAGAGGATGTCGTGTGGTGATTCTCCTCGCACAAATCTACAAATGTTCCAGCACTGGCCGGGACAACGAGTTTGGAAAACATACTTGAACGATCTCATGGAGGCATAGCTGCTGTCACCTCCTGAGACTCCCGAGCTGGAGTCAGATTTGGCCGCGACGTCGCGTGCGAGGCCAAGCTCTTCAAGGACACGGAGAGCATTACATCCTGGAATGCACTATAGTTATCCAACATCGGACTATTCGGACTCGACACGCACCGACAGCAATTCCAGCTCCAATCTCGCCATACTTTTGCTACTGCTCTATCAGACAAAGCAAGGACCCCATCATCTGATAGAAGTGACGAACCGCTGCTTCGAAGACGTCGGACCGTATACCCGCCTTCGCAAGTGCGATCGCGAGGGTCAGTCCACAAATCCCCCCTCCGACGATAGCGAGGCTGAAGTCTTTGCCGTGTTGCACGTTGTCAGAGGCCATGATCTCGTACAAGTGAAGGGGGGGTAAGCAACTTTCCAGCAAGCTCGAGGGCTTTATATAGCCTCGTCGGAGTATAGAGCTCCCGAACTTGGGTGGAAAGCGTCCCAGAGCTCAAGCAGACGAACCATCAGTCGGCAGGAATACGTACATTGCGTCATGGAAGAGTAGATAGGCCGACATGGGCGAACGAAACTGGAAGTCTCCAAGCCCGTGCATAGCATCCGAGGATGCGCGCACGCACGAGAAGATACTAAGCGTGAAGCCACCCAAATACCACTCGCACGGACAGGAGCGTTCTAGCGGTCATCGCACGTTAGCAAAGAGAGCCCGTTCTGCTGGACTGTACGGGGAACATGTCAGACAAGTGTACGAAGGAGGGCATATGTGACGTCTATACGCGTAGAAGGTATGCTGATAGCTCTCCTTACATGGTGCAATATGTGCTATGAGCTCTTCTCAGCAACCGAAGTGATGAGAGGGGGCGCGCGCGACTCGTCACGACACCGCGTCAGGCTGCGGACACGGATTATCGGAGCTGATTCACTGCTGTCGCGCATATGAGAGAGTTTAGTTCATCCGCAGACAATCAAGCTTGAACGAATAGACACAAAGAAGGCCTTTTATGGACACTGTATGGTGATGTACCCGCGTTTGGGCCCAGACGAAGGCGCTCGCAAAGCAGGCAATCACGATGTGAAGGCGCCGCGCGCGATCAACGCGCCTTCCGCCACTCGAAGTTCCTGCCTCAGATCGTGGCGCCAAATCTCCTCCCAAAGTTTACTGAAGTCCTTCATCCGCCCCTCATCGGTGGGGCCAGATGGTCCGTGGCCTTCATACGCATCGCCAGCGAACTTGCTTTGGTTAGCTGTGTAGGAGCCACGCGGCACTCGAACAGTCTGATAAGCCTCAAGTACCGCCTAACAGGGAGTGAACACATGACACACAAAGTGAACACGGCCAGGCATACCTCGACGTTCGCGGCGTTCGTTTGCGGATTAGCCAAAAGACGAGCCAGAACATATGCGTCCTCGATACCACAGCCAGCGCCGCCACCGAGGTGCGGTAATGTCGCGTGAGCCTGTAGTACGTGCTGCGATTCAGCCGTCGTCGAAAACGCGTACGGGATTCACTCACAGCGTCCCCGATCAGAGCTACTTTGCCTGCGACGTACTTGTCTATCGTCGGGTACAAGGCGTGAATTGACCACTTGCTGGGGTTCTTGATGCCGTTGAGCATTGCCTGTACCTCTGGGCCCCATCCTTCGAAGTCCTTGAGCATCTCAGCCTGCGGGACGTCCTTGACCCATTCCTGCGGATTCCCTTCGTACTCCATCGGGCGCGAAAAATCGGTAGTGAACGCCACGATGTTCAGTATCTTGTTGTCCCTGATAGGGAAGGTGATCAGATGCTTGTCCTCACCAAACCAGCAGAGCGACTGCAAGAAGTCTGTCTTAGCGCCTGCAGCCTTAAGCTCTTCGATTGGCACAAGTCCGCGATAGGCAGCTGTACGCGTGAAGACGAGCGATTCGTCGCGCGCGCCCTCAGGCAGACCGAGCACGAAGCGGCGTACGGTACTCTTCAGGCCATCAGCACCGATGACGACGTCTGTCTCGTGTGTTGTGCCATCTGAGAACACAAGGAGCGTACGCCCTGATCCCATCTTCTGGATACTCGTGCAGCGTTTCTTGAAATGCTCGGTAATCATCGAGCGGTCGATGTTGCCAGCGAGTGCTTCCAAGAAACTCGCACTGACGTTCGTTAGCATACGTATATCCCTCCCAGATCTAGTCATCATACTTACCGGTGTAGTCCCAGGCCTTCATCAGTTGGCCCTTCCGGGTACTGCACAAGTTAGATCGATCGGCAAAGATCAAAGCTAAGCTCGCGTACGTCAAAAATAATTTCGTGAGGTGCTTCTCCTCGCACAAACCTGAGGACATCTCAGCATCGATCAACATGGCCTACATAACACAGTGAGACGTACTTGAACGATTTCATGGCTGCGTGATGACCGCTGCCGTCTGCGCTATCCGAGCTGGATTCAGATTTCGCCGCGACATCGCGCGCTAGGCCGAGCTCTTCAAGCACGCGCACGGCATTACATCCTTTCATACAGCTGAAGTCAGACACAGGATAGACAATATGGCTTCTGTACGCACCAACGCCTATCCCAGCACCGATTTCACCGTATTTGTGCTGTGGGAGTATCAGCCTGGGTTGTCAACCTGACTGAGTTTGACGTACCGCTGCTTCGAAGACGTTGGATGGTATACCAGCCTTTGCGAGTGCAATGGCAAGGGTCAATCCACAGATGCCGCCGCCAACAATGGCGAGGCTGAAATCTTTGCCTGTCGGTTGTACGTTGTTTGAAGCCATGGCGATGCGAGTGAAGGCGGAGTGAGCAGCTGCACTGCAAGCCAGAGCGCGTTTTCAGGTCTTATAGAACAGCTCCGGAGCGTAGTGCCTCCGGAGTCCGTCAAACAGTATAGTTCACCAGCTACGGTCTTTCAGTCGGAGGGCATGATCGGAGTCAAAGGGAATGTTGTCGCGCGCTTTCCTGGCGTTCGGAGCTGCGGGCGCTCATGGAAGATATACTTGGTAGCAGAGATACCGAGTTGACGGGATGTCTGAATGGCCTCCATCGCACGTTGGCCGAGAGAGACCGATAGCACGTCCAGTTCCGGACTGTATGAGGTCATTTGTCATTCTGGCGCACAAAGCAGGTTGCAAATCAAGGCGACACGACGAGTATAGACGCGGCCAGCAATTCAATAGCTCGTAATGGTGAAGATACATCGTAAGGACACGTTAGCTGCTGCATCTGAACATGGTGGTGAGAAGAGAGCTCTGTCACCCCAGGTAAACGCGACTGGTCACGTCAGTGACGACGGCCGCGGCCGCGCCACTCGATCGGCCGAGACGCGAACTTTTGCAGTACCGAGTCACACCCTGCCATCTACCACCACCGCACCAACATTAACTGGTTCAAGATGTCTGACAAAAAGGTCTTCTGGCTGCGATGCGAGAAGAAGGAGTTTGAGCGGCGCGCTGCACTCACACCCACTACGGCCAAGAAGCTCATCGACCAGGGTTTCGAGATCTTCGTGGAGCGCGATGAGCAGCGTATATTCGACGACGCTGAATACGAGGCGTAAGTCACCTATTACTTGCTGTCATGCGAACGTCTTCTAATGGTGCCAATATGCAGTGTTGGTTGCAAGCTTGTTGACAACAACTCCTGGCCATCTGCCCCGCACGATATCCCGATCATTGGTCTGAAGGAACTCCCAGAGAGTGACGAGCCACTCCCGCACACGCACATCCAGTTTGCGCACTGCTATAAGCAGCAGGGGGGCTGGTCGAAGGTCCTGTCGCGCTTCTATCGCGGCAATGGAACGCTCTACGATCTCGAGTTCTTGAACGATGACTCGGGCCGCCGCGTCGCCGCCTTTGGCTTCCATGCCGGTTTCGCGGGCGCAGCGGCGGGCGCGCTCGCCCTTGCTGCGCAGCGCTCAGGTCAGAAGCTGGGTCAACTAGAACCTTACCCAAATGAGGACGCTATGGTATCGGACGTGAAGGCAAAGCTTGGCGGTGACGCTAAGCCCGTGAAGGCACTAGTCATCGGTGCGCTCGGTCGATGTGGTCGCGGGGCCGTTGACCTCTTCCGCAAGATCGGTTTGGAGGAGTGCGTCCATTTCGCTCTTCGTGGTTGATGGCGCGGTAAACTCATCGTGACATCAAAGGGACAACATTGTGAAGTGGGATATGGCGGAGACCGCCAAGGGTGGACCGTTCCAGGAGATCTTGGACGTTGATATTTTCGTCAACTGCATATATCTCACGAGCAAGATCCCGTCTTTCGTCACTCCCGAACAGATCACAGCGGCGGGTCCGAGTCGGCAGCTGAGTGTCGTTGTGGACGTGAGCTGCGACACTACAAATCCGAACAACCCGATTCCTATCTATTCGATCAACACGACATTCGATGCGCCGACTGTGCCAGTCAAACTTCCGTGCGTATATCATCTTGATCGATCCAGAGCATTCACTGAAAGGTCTTTAGTGAGGGAGTGCCTCCGATGTCCGTGATCTCCATCGACCACCTCCCCACGCTACTCCCTCGCGAAGCATCCGAGCAGTTCAGCTCAGATCTCCTGCCTTCGCTGGAGACCTTCCCTCAGCGCCAAAGCGCGCGCGTGTGGACTGACGCGGAGAAGCTGTTCCGTCAGAAGCTCTCCGAGGCCGCGCAGGTTGAAGGTCTGGCATGAGACGCCCGGTAACTTGCCATAATAGACGCCATAGACCCAATCTACCCTGTCTATGAGCTAAAATGAAGAGTTGTAATAGCATATAGGCGCATGTTTGTAACGAAACATAGAAGCGAGGAGTGTCTATGGATTTACGGCCGATTGACACAACAATGCTCTAAACAATAAGATCACACGACCGAATGAGCAAATACACAGGGACGACTAAATGATGGGAGATCTGCATTGAGCATTTGACGTGGATTTGCTGTGCTCGGGTGAACTTACAGATCGCAGACGGCATCAGAGTTTTGTTGTTGGCAATGAACGCATACGGGCTCGATGGGCATTCGCGACGTTCGGGAGAACAAAGGGCAGAACGCGAGAATGGTAAGTTGAGCGGGCGGGCGTAGTTCGGCTGAGAACGTCTTGGTGTAGTCGCCTTGTCGACGGGCGGGGCCTGGTCGAGGACGTCGAAAGGTTTGTTGTCGCCAAGGCCCGTCAGGAGCATCAGTATCGAAGTCCTGCGCAGCCAATGCCGCGCGCTGGTCACCGCCACCTGGAGACGTTTTACATATACAACCATACACCCGCGAGCAACTGTTTCCCTTCCCTCTCGCACACAGGTCACAACTCTCCTTTCTACTTTCGTTTTCCGGCCAGTGTCGACGGCGGCTTCTGTCTCCTGCGCTTCCTCTTTTACTCTTCTTCTTCTTCACGAAACATACGGTGCAGGTCGCCTACTTTACGAAACCTTTGTCTGAAGTCGAATTTCCCCCGTCGCCCGACCAACATCTCTAAACACCTGCGCCATGGAAGTGATTGCGGTACCCCAGCTCTCCCTCCCCGAGATTGCCATCTCGCCTGCTCCGCCGCAAGAGAGCCTGCCCGAGCCGTTCTCACCGTTCGCGGCTTCTCACCCGCCCACCCCGACGCTGGCGCCCGCCGCGGAAGACGATGGCTATCGGTCGAGCCTTCTGAGCCCGCCGCCGGTCATGTCGACGCGCTTCTTGCGCCAGCACTCTCCCCTCATCCCAGAGTCGCTCAAGGCCAACGCCGGCCAGGGTCTTGATGCCGACCGCTTCCAGCGCTTGCTGGCGGCCTCCAAGGAACGCAACACTGCCCTCGTCGGCAAGAAGGCGCCTGACCTCCGTAAGGAGATAGCCATCAAGACGCACAAAAGCAAACAATGTACGTCTGCTTTCGATGAATGTTGCGTGACACGCGGCTGATTGCGTCGTGTCGGACACAGTGGAACGACGCGCCTTGTTCCTTTCCAAGGTCGCAGCGCCGCCGTCACCCACGGCCACGCTGCTGCCCAAGACTCCGCCAGAGTCCCCGGCCATCTTCCACTATACGATGCCGTCGCCTGGTCTCGAATCGCCTCTGGCCATCTACGATCACGTCAACTCGCCAGAGTCGGCTATGATCACCCCTTGGATCGAGCAGGTCGACTTCCGTCGCGAGCCTGAGCAGAAGAAGCCTCGCTCGCATGGTCTGCCCTCCTTGGACCAGATCCAATCGCGCATGGCCACGCACGGGCAGTCGAACATTCGTATGGATCCTGCTCGTTCTCGCCCGGGTCTTCCGGCATTCCTCCGTGCACCCTCGCCCCCGCGCATCGTCGTGGAGGAGGTCGAAGAGGCATCCACGAAGGTCGAGGAGCTTTCGCGCCCACGCCTCGTCCTTCCCAAGCGCGAGCGCGTGCAGCAGCCCCCAACGCCCCGTCCGGTTCTTCCCTCTGTGCGGGGCTCTCGCTCCCCGGTAATGCCGACGTTCGCTCAGCTGATGCCGACGTCGCCGAAGCGGCGCTCACCGAAGCCCGCCCCGCTGGAACCGGCATCGTTGCAGATTACGACGACCGTCATTCCCAGCACACCCCGCAAGCGTTCCCCGACGGATTTCACCGCGAGTAACCTCGCATTACTCTCCTCTCGTGCACGCTCTGGCAACGCCATGATGGCGGCCCTTCGTCGCCGCACATCGTCTGGTGCCCCCGTTCCTCCCCCAGCCTCGGAACGCTCTCGCCAGGTTCTTAGCCCCATTGAGAGCGAAGAACGTAAGGCGCGCCGCATCTCTGCACCTGCGGAAATGCAGCGCCGTGGGCACGACTCGTTCTCTCATCCGGTTCTCGCGCTCCCTGGTGGTTTCTGATTGCAATACCCGTCAAACTTTGGTGTAACACATCTCGTTCTGGATGCCGTTCTGGACCAACTATCTTTCGCATCGTCTTTACATATCCCCAGACGCTGATGCCTACGCGGTGTCCGTGGGTCGGACTTCGTCTTCTTCCATTCGTTCCGTACTTTGTTACTGTTACTGGCGGACCAGAACCGCGTTCCGGTCTTTTTCTCGTGTTCTAGTCTTTTCGTTCTGTTCTTCATCCCCATCAGACAATAAAACACTACATACTTGGCCCGTCGCACAACACAACACTCTCGTCGCTACATTCGTATCTTTCGACACATGGGCTGGTCCCAGGATGCCGCAGATACTCGCATGTTATACAGCAGTTTAAGTTATGAATACTACACACATTGCAGCACTAATTGTTTACATCGAGTCAGCAGGGAGGACAGTAATTTCGATGCAATGTGAACGACGTAGGTTGGGAGAGGATGGTGATGTGAACGGGGAGGATGTAAGGGTGGGAGGGTGATACAGAGTGGCGCTACGGCCGCGTGCGGCATTGTGCGAAAGATAGCAGGCAATTGATTCAGTCAGGCTATTTAATGATACCGGTAATTTCTTCTCTAGATCTTCTTCGTTGCTTCTTCGAGATACGGGCATTAGTTCATCTGTAGGTACTGAGGAGGGTCAGCGACAAAGGTGCGATAAAGGCATAGCCTACACCCACATGCGAGACGAAATGGCCCTTAGAATAAGACTGCGTTGGTGGTAATCCCAGCGTGCGTCCTCGTCCAAGTTTTCCTCGTTATCGGAATCATACAGAGCGTCGCGCGTCTGCACACGGTGCCATGCCTGTTGGAACATAGTTCGCGACCGGCGATGCGCTGTCCGGTATTCGGGCTCACGCCTTTGCGCAGTCAGCACGGCACTTACACGCGGTGGGCCCTCGTGCACCGGCTTCGGGGGGCGTGCATTCGCTGGAATGTAGTGGTGGAATGTGGGTTGCTTCCCTGCGCCAACGTCAGACGTGTAGTGGTGGTGTTTATGCGGTCGGGCGCCTCCACGCCCAGCCACCGACCGCATAGGCGCAGGCGACGAACTATGTGAAGTCGGAATGCCCCGAGGTGGACCGCCACTCGGGGTTTGCTGCAGGTGTACGGACCCATTTGGATGGGAGACCTGCACCGGCACAGGCTGCGCTTTGGCGGTGGTATGGGCATGCTTCGTTGAATCGCGCGAGCCTTCGCCCCCTCCGGAGACAAGGTCCTGAAGGAATGCGCTACGCTGAAGGGCCATCTTCCTCCCCCACTCGATCTCCGCCGGCTCGTCAACATTCTCTTTCCTAAGATCCTCATGATTCAATCTCTCCAACAGAGGCGCACGCCCCGGATGTCGGCCCGCGCGATGGTCGTCAAACGGATTAGGCTTGTCTGTGCCTTCGTGAAAGCGATAGATAAGCCACAAGAATGCCCGTGCGCGAGACTGGGACGATATGTCAGAAGGCAGAAACAGGTCGACGAACTCGATGCCCTGCTCGAAGAACTCCCCCGAGATGGCCTAGGATATTCGTGCGCTCAACAACTATGTGAGAGCCGCGAGAGAGAGGACATACATGCGAGAAATTAGTCAGGACGAAGATTAGGTTAACGATGGAAGTGGGCGGACGGAGTCCTTCTCTCTGAGATACGGAATCAGGACATCTCCTCTTTACAAAGTGCTGGGCGGACTTACAAGGCGTTTAAGGATGTCTGTAGGAGACGAGGGAACTGTAGCGCCTTTGGCACCCTCAGCCGGTAATAGCGCTGCCTTGAGGCAATTCTTGATACGAGGCGCATCCTGGACGTTGCCGTCTGTTTTTTGCAGCGAGGGGACGGGGTGATAGCTACGAAGGGCGGTCTTCATTTCCGGGAAGACTGTGGGGGTACAAAACGGCGGGTCAGCGAGGAATCAAAAGGCAAGCTGCGCGAGCGTACACGCCATGGTTGTATTGATACGGCCGACATTAGTGAGTAAAGATATCTTCGCGAACTCGATCGCGAATGCAGGCGTTTCGTGCATCTTATCACGCATAATTTTGGAGCATTTAGTCGAATTGTACAGCGCGTTCACGTACAGGTCGCAGAATGCGACCAAAGGCTTTGGATTGTCGGGCGTTGCACTCTCGTCGGTAAACACACGATGGTTATCCAAGAAGATAGCATTCAGCAGGTCGTATTGCACATCCTCCCGGGTGAGAGTCTCCGAATCGTGACGCTTGATGGCCATATTGACCTTGCGGGAGAAGTATTGACCTCTGGTGAGCGCGACGCGTCTGAGCAATTGTCACTTGACCGAGATGTCGGAACTGGACTCACTGGACGCGTTCTGTGGCCATGACGGGCGCGGGAAGGTTGGATCAAGAGATGACGGGGCGGGGCGGCCGTGGCGGCAAGGGAGAGCGTGCATTTGCATTGAGCGGTCTGATATACCGCCACGAGGCGGTCGAGAAGGCGTAGCGGAACACGAGGCCGATGAGCAGCACGCAGATACTTCAAGGGCAGATCAACAACGTGTAGCGGGACGTCCGTTGAAAGAGATTCCTCTCCGCCGTTGTAACGGCAGCCGTCAGAAGACTTCCACGCCGCCGCTCCCAGAGCATTCAGTAGAGAAACACTATTACACACAAGCTCGCCAGACGTCGTGTGCATGGCAAAGTGCTGGATTTTTTGCTGGCACGGAAGTATCTATGCAGGGGACGATGACATGAGCGTCGGATTCAAAAGTCAGTTTTCATCGAACGGTCCAGCCTCAGTTTCGGCGTTGTCATTGTCGTGATCTCCGCGAGCCATGAGGCTATTAGAAATTGACGTCTCGCAGTGCGCGTGTGAGACACGAGGCGCAGGTGGACGTCCGTGAATTCACGACTTCGGACACCAGGGCGCCGGTGCCACGCTTTGATCCGTAACGCGTCACGATCTGCTGTCGCGCGCGGCGCCTTCCTACAGACCGCCATGGATAATCTTCAGCTCGATGAGGCCTCCAAGGTACGTATCTCTGCTAAGCCAGACGCTCATAACTGAACCGGGCCACAGAAGGAGATAGCTCAATTTATCGAGCGGGAGCAAGCCGGGGCGCGCTTGCAGGCCAGCATCCATCAGTACACGAGCATGTGCTGGGACAAGTGAGTACCATGGATGTGATATAATGGGCAAAGTCTTACCCGCGCTCAGATGCATTACTGGTACTCCAGGCACGCGCTTCTCGCGGTCTGAAGAGAGTTGTATTGCCAACTGCGTTGAACGCTTCCTCGACACGAGCCTATTCATGGTCAAACAGCTTGAACAACAGCGAAGCATGTCTGGTTGAACTACAGTACCTCTATACGCCCGAAAATGGATTTGAGACCCCATCTACCTGTCACTCACGTATGCTCACTTAATAATCCCATCGGTCTGCTTGCATTTCCCAGACTAGCAGCCGTTTCTGGCAAGCGAGATACTACTTTCGATGTCCGAACGGCCGCGTGAGGCTACACGTTGCGCGGGCCAGTCTTTGGTATCATCTTACTGCTTCCGCCCCTCTCTTCTCAGAAGTTGTCGGCAGGGTCTGCTCTATCTGACGGACCCTGTGGCGCCGCTGAAAACGGTACCGAAAAAGTGCTGGCGTGGAAAGGCGTCCCTGCATCCTGTGTTCAGGTCTAGCCACCGGTAGCGAAGAGTCTCAACTACAGCTATCATACTGTATGTACGCTAATGTCGCTGGTTCATTGTTCGTGTTTTTCACCGTACGAGTACAATCAGACGCTACAGTCGTGGCGGCAAGCTCTGGCTGGATTGCTTGTGCACTCCCCGTCGTCATATAGAGCTAGTTGTCGTCATATAGAGCTAGTTACACTCTTTTCGCCAGTGACTGTTCCATTCAAGCCTCGTTTACGGAGTCGCATATGTTAGCATGAAATAATGTGATTCGCAGAGAACCGCACCGGGTGAATGCATCACCGCGCGCAACGCCAAACCACGCGTGCCCCCAACCACCACCACGACCGCCTTTATTGGCATGGGTCTGTCGCTCGACTCTTTCACTTCTAACGACATCTACATGCCATGAGTCGCATCTTCCATCGTACCTCCCAGGTGTCATGCTTCTTCTGTCAGAGTAATGTCGTACCAGCACCTACGAACCCCAAATCTTTCCTCTGCCCACACTGTCAATGTTGGAATCGATATGACGCGCACGGAGACATCATGTCCGACGACCCGGCCATGCACCAGGAATCTCTGAACGCGAAGTCGTTCGCCCGACGAGGTATGTGGTTATCTACGTTTAAATGGGTCTTGACCGACACCGTGTTCAGCATCTCCCCGCAGGGATCGCTTCCTGAGTTCATTCGACGGCGTCAAGCTCTGCGACACTTGCAGATCAAATCAGGCCCTCGTGATGAGCTTGTTATCGAGCTACCTACCGCCATCCGAAGATGTACGTTTCAATATGTGTCGGAGGGCTGTGGCACTGAGCGGGTTGTTAGGATCCAGAATACAGATATCGTCTGGACACATATGATGAATACAAGCGGACGCTCGAAGCTCGATACCCCCCGCTCTGCGGCCCTTGCTCTGTGCTCGTGGAGGAGGAGATACGCCGGAAGAATTCAATGGCGCGTTTGAACGTATTGGGGAGAGGGTTGGCCAATACCAAACGGACGGATAAGAAGCGGCAGGTTTCGGCTTCCATGGATGACCGGATGCAGCTGAAGAGGGAGCTGCTATGGTGGAGGCTCAGAGGAGTACTCTTTTGGTTGACATTGGCAATAGCTGTCGCGGTCGACTGGATTGGTGCGTTCACAATAGTATGCACCATGCGTCGTACTGACATACACGCAGGCGCCACTTCCACATTAGCCCACGATCATCATTCATGTAAACGCCTTTACCTTGCCATGCTCGCCCTCTCCCCGCTCTGGATGGCGTGGGATCCCACATACGCTCATATGCGGCGGGCCCGGTTACAAGGACGTCGTGTCAATGTGCATGGCCGACGCACATATATCGTACGCCTCCTCCTTTGAATGCGCAATATGCTTCACTGATGAATTTACAGATGCTGCAATCGTTCATGTGGTTCAACCGCCTCGTGCTCTCGCTACTATTGGTATTACCAGAGCTTAAACCCAGCTGGGATTTACTAAAGTTGCAACACGTACCTCCATCTCAACGAAGTCGCTCGGTATTCTTAGCCGAGCTTTGTATTGAAATGCTTGTGCGTGTATCATTCACACGTTCGACTGTGTCCTCACTGAGTACAGTCAAGGTCTGTGTCGCCTCATATATCGCCCTTCGTCTGTACGATGCACCACACGTTCGCTTGTTGTATGAAACTGCCGAACGTGATCGCTCACGGACGGCAACGCCGGCACCGCCATCTGCGCCACCAGGAAAGACTCGTTTTACGACCCCCGTATTTTCAGCTCCTTCAAAGGAAGGCCCTTCGTCCGCACATGTATCTCGCACATCAAGATCTGCATCGTTAGAACCACAAACGTCGTTCAATAAAGCATCATCCTCCACCCATAGTGTCTTCGGACGACCTTCTCTATTAGCCAACAACTGGTCCGCGTCCGGCTCCCGCGATCCTCGTTCTAGGACGATAGAGAGGCGTGCCCCGACGAAGGTGGACGAAGACGAAGACGCCATGGACTGGACACCGACGGTACCCGAACCAGAAGCTCGGCCCCGTCAACCACAGGTTTCGCGTTCAACTCCATCGGGCGTCAGACGCGAGGACACCGGTCTTGAAGACCTCTTTGCGGGAACCAAACTGGTGGAGGAGCCGCCACGCTTCGGCGCCTTCCGCACCATGCCTCAGGCTGGCGGGTGGAGTTGGTGGTGGGTGTATGGATTGTTAATCATACCTTTATCGGCGATTGTCTACGCCTTATGGTTGTCGCGGAGGGTGCCATACGGGCCTATGAATGCATAAGAAGTTCCCATTTAATTTGGTTCCAGAAAAGGCACTCGCGTTGCCTTAGTGGGATGCTCTTGTAGCAGTAGGTGAATGCGCCAGATGCTGAATCGAGACTAGCTTTGGCGCGCGATGCATATCAATGCGTCCTCATCAGCGCTTCCATTCCGCTATGTCATCGGCGCAAAGGCTCAAAAGTGGAACGTCTACACTGTCAACTCACCTGCACCCATCATGGACCCCAGCCGTCTCAATCTTGCCATCCACTCTTTCCGAGAGCATGCACTCTCCAACAACTGGCTTCCCTTGCTCCGCGAAGCTCGTCGGCTTATGCAACCAATCGGCACTTACAAGGACGACGAGTCGTTGCTGATCAGCGCTCTAGCTGCCGCTTATGTCAGGCGTCAGCCGGCAAACGAAGCCCTAAGGGAATTGCATGGCGTAAGTCATATTCCTGCAATACAATACACAGTATCGATCTGACACGTGATGCCTATACTGCAAGGTGAATTGCCACGCTGAGAACGTCTGGAGGGACTACTATCATGCTTATCGCCCGCATATTGACATGCGCGTCAACGATCTCCTGCAGCGTCTTCAGATGCACGTTTCAATGAGCCCAGCACTTTCGTCACCTGCTGAGGGACGCAACGTATCGACATACGGCGGTCTCGATACGGTCAGCATGATTCAAGCTCCGGCGACGACGAACTCTCCCGCCACTTCGCATATTGCCTCTGGTATTGACTCATTGCCTACACCTATCTCACCCTGCTTGAGTCTCGCGACGCCTGACCAAGAGTTCACGCACGCTCAAGAAGACAGCCACCGCAAAGAGCCTGAAGAAGACAAGGCGTATATGATCAGAAGACTGCAGGAAGCGCTGAATAAGGACGAGTCGTTCAACGTCACGGAGCTCGCAAAGTCCATGGCCATCGAGGTCTGTCACACGTAACCAGCGTCATCGTAGTATAATATCTCATTAGTATCTCGCAGGCTCCACATCGCCAGATGATGTACTGGAAAAGGCTGATGTATCGCAATCCTGACGCTCGTGCCATCCTGAGCCGGCGCAAGGGCTGCTTGCTTTCTCGCCCCGAAGCTGAAGACTCGGGAGAATACAGTATCTTCGGCACTGACGACAACGAAGTTGGCCCTACGCGCGCGACTCGACGTACTCGTTTGCCGTCTGGTCGCCGTAAATCTGGTCGTTCGTCGCTGCACGACTTTGAACAGCCTTCGGAGAGCGAGGCAGACTCTGATGAGCCTACGTCCTCCCCGCAGCGGCATTCAAATAAGCCATACATCAACAGCGGTAGTTATACAGATAGCGAAAGTAGGGGAAGACATAATGGCCCATACACGCTCGGTGACATACGTGCTCTCGCATCGCTGCTCCTCAAATATCCCGAGCTAGATACGCTTGGTGACCATCGTCTCGGAGAGTTCATAGAAGAGAATGTACACATTCTTCGCTTCTTTCAGTACGGTGTACTGATCCCTCGTTAGCTAGGGATACGCACAGCGTCTGCTTGGAGGAAGGCATTCGCGCGACGCAAGTCTCGTACGTTCTGAGCTAATCATGATGCTTTACGGTGCATTGAAGTCTGTTCCTAGACGTCAGAGCATTGGCCGCTCAGATGAAGGAAGAGCGAAGTTCGCCCACTCAGAGATGCTTGCACACCGCACCGCAATCGTCGACGCAATCTCCTCCGACCACATCTTCGAATCTCCCACCTACCAAGCGTCCTCGGGCGACCACAACCTTACCTTAAACTGCGACTCTTCTTGGTATGCACAATCCTTGAGCGGATTGCGCATCCGCTCCTTGCAGACTCAAAGGATGTTTCGCTTTAGATCAATACAGGCATGTTATTTTGGGCTTTGTAAGCTACAGGCGCGTCGATAGACGATCTCGAGATAGTGTTCTACTGCCTACGGTGGGCTCGACACCATCAGTGGCATCACCATCCCTGCTATGAGATGATGTATAGGTCGGCAGAGCACTGTCGAATCGGGCCCATGTTTTCTCGGACACAATTGGTGCTGTTAGATAAGGCTGCACTCCCAAATCGTCGACGAGACTTTCCATCTGAGGCAGCACCGCATTAAGTGCAGCTTGTACTGCCGCACTCTGCTCACTACGGCTCAATCCGGCCTGCTCGGAGTACCATGATCCATCGCGCTGGATAGCGTCGCTAACGTATAGATCGAGCAATGAAGGCATAACCCCCGCGTCGAGTGCAGCATCGTAGGCCATGCGATCACCAATAGCGCCAACAAAAGTCTGACAATGCGGAAGAATACGGCGGCTGACTTCCGGGTCGCGATGGTGAGAGGCAGTGGATAGGATGCTGGACAGTTCGGCGAACAGTGCGGCTTCATGTTGCGCGAGCGCACTTTCAGGGTGCGTGGAAGGCGGAAGTCTGTATTTTCCAAGAAGTAACTCCATCGTCAAACCTGAGCAACCACTGTCAGAATCTCGTGTCCTAGAGTGATTGCAAGATATCGCGTACGGATGCAAAGAACGAGGACGTCCCCTTCGGCGACGATGACCATCCTAACGTCATTCTACTCTTCTTCAGCAGGAGCTACCAGTCAAGATGCCCGTCACTCACAAACAACGCCGCCATCTGATTGTCTCCAAATAGTCCTTGGGCCCCACAGCGTTCCGAGATCGAAAGACACGCCTCCGTAGCTCGCCGAGTGATCACGGCTTTTGACGCGGCAGCGACTCCGTGCCGTATACGTAGGTCAACCGTTGCATCCGCAAAGAATGAGGAAGCCCATTTCGCCAGAGCCTTGAATACGAAGGCTTGGGCAACGGCGAGAGCAATGGGCTTTTGCTGGGTGACGAAGGAAAAGATGGGTATCTGACCACCTGTGACGCCCGTCACAGTGCGTCGTCGACTGTACATGAAACCAATGGTGGCACATGTGGATATCACGCTCACGCAGACGAGGCTGAGGGCCAGAGAACCTACTGCCACACGCGTGATCAGCCCTGAAAAGTCTTCCGCCTCGTCCAGAGAGCCGAGGATGGCGGTGGCAGGAAGTTGAACGTTGTCGAACGACGTAAGGGCATGGTTCACTATCTGGGTGCCTCCTCGAGGGGGCATGGCTCTTATATACAATCAGTATCAGGTAGCGCGGAGATAGCAGTGCATCGTACTTAGCTGTCACGCCCGGCGTCATGTGTACGCCGTCATTCAAGGTCACGATGAAGGGGCGAATGCCTCGATCTTCGGCATCAACAAGCAGGCGAGCAAACACCACACCGATAGTCGGAGCCCCGGCCGGTATAGTGGGGGGCATGAACCTGTTACCCGTTTAGAAGGCTTGAAGTGCGATGAGCATCGTGATACCCACTTTGCTGCCCTCGGTGTATGAGATGATAAGTTGAACCCTCCCGATGGAAGTAGTGTTGCCGTCGTCTCTAGATTCTTCGCATCGAGTCCGTGGCCCAGTTCAGTGAGCAGGAACTGGCCGTGTACGCGATACTTCAGGAGATCTTTCATGAGCGATAGAAGGTAGGGTTGCCGCTGAGCGTAGCGTCCGATTGTGCCTATGACCAGATTGTATTGAATCGTGAGCAATGTCATGGCTGCCCCATCTCGTTGTAAGACTGGATGCAGGTGAAGCTCCCAGAACTTGGGTTTGAGTGAACAGATATCATCGAGATCCAAACCTGTCCGAGAGAATGTCAGTCATTACATTGTATGAATCAGAGACGTGCGACACAGATGATCTTGCTTACCTGAAGCCAGGGCGATAGCTTTCGCACGGTCATAGGCAATGTTTGAACGCGGCGCCGGGGCGGGCAGATGCGAGCCCACGACAAAGGGAGGAGAGCTGAGAAGGCTTGGATCAAAGATGGCAGCCATCGAAGCTGAGATCAGAGCGAGAGGTGAGGATACTGCTGGACGCAGGGCACTGCAAGGGCTTGGAGTATGAGCGCAGCTTGCCCTCTTATACAATCATCAGCGTCAAGATACTCGCAAGTTCGCAGGGTATCATCCCTGCGGGTCAGTACGAATCCGAGGCGGAGAGACCGAAGCAACACTCAGCAACATTTAGTGCCGACCGTCTTGGTCTTGGCCCATACATTTGGGATGGTGCTCGCCGCGGCCGGTTTACTGACAAAAGCCCGATGACCGGTGAAATGCTACCATGTGTAGCAGCCGCTCACAGCTGTTATCTCTGCGTGGAAGAACTGTACGAGACAAGTGAAGGTGAATGTTCGACGAGAATCGAGGAGCGGTCTTCGTCGGGATCGAGAGAATATTATGCCCTATCGCCGGTTGCCCTGAGGATCATGTCACCAGAAAACGTCAGACTGGTTCAGGTCTTTAGGCCCGAGGATGATGCATACTCACCATACCGAAAATGAGGGATAGACACGGGGATCAGTGATCCATTTGCCAGACTTATCCGTCGAAATAGCAGTACGCGCACGGCTGTGCCGACCAACGGTTGTTTATGGCCCTTAGGTATACATCAGTAGAACCTCGAAGTCGGGTCTTTCATAGCTGACACGCGATATAAGCCGGTGTTTTCGTGAGACTTCTCTTCTCTCTTGCTTGACCGGACCCGCGGAACCCGAGGGCGTGGGAGAAGTTCGACGGATGATGCAGGGCTCAATCATGCCCTATGTCAACATTGCATAGACAAGGGAGGTACACCTGAAATGCTGATATGAGCCATTCGCATCTATCAGGGGGTCTTAAACAATCAAGAAACTCAAGCGCCCATAGACGCGCACGCACGTCCCTCGTGAGAGACTATTCCATTATTTGACAGCAACTTATAAAACAACGTCCACCCGAATACCAAAAGGAAACACCCTGCAGAACCCCATAACGCTGTCAACAAAAAGAAAAGGGCCGTACGCTATTGTCGATATCCATGAAGTCTGACAGCATGAGCGTCGTCCGGCAATTGTACCGCCGTACTTGACCGGACGCGTCCCTCGGCCATCCTACGGATGGTGCCCTCCCATGCCTTGAACCATTCCCCCTCGCGCAAGCCCTCGTCATACGATTGGCGTCTGATCTCGCCGTCCTCGTCAGTGATCACACGGGGTTGATGACGATGCAATGCGTGCGCGCTGCCCGCCACAGTCCACCGGCCAAGCCCTCGCGGATGGAAACGCTGGAAGAGCCAGACGATAGGGTATACGAGCAGGATCCAGGCGATAATGCGGAACCATAATTTGGACAGGAGACGCTGGAAGCGGGTATCAGGGCGAACGACGACCCGCGCGAGTGACTTTTCGAAGTCGACTTTGATGTCGCCCGCGTAACCCGTGCTGAGGACGGCGGAGCGTACAGCGTTGCACAGTACACCGGTCTGCCAACCGAAAACGACCTTGTCGAAGACAAACTCCTTGAATATCTTGTCCGACGCGGCGTAATCGTCTGCCCATTGCCTCAACGTCCATGAGCTCCTCAGGACATCTAAGCCGCGCGTGTTTGTGACGCTGAAGTGAGCGTATCCCGTCGCGTTCGTGTCCCACATCTGTGCCTCAGGGTCGATGAACTTGCCGGTGCGGCTGTCGCGCTGAATGCCGCCGACCCAGGGCGGGAACCCAACGCGCTCGCGGAATACGCGTAGTTTGCGCGCGGCTTTACTCTCGCTCCAGGTGACGGGCGGTCCGTCCTTGACGCATCGTTTCGTGCCGCCGCGGTAGGCTGGCTCATAGTCTGCGACGGTCCATAGATGGGCGCGCGGCAACAGATGCTGGCCGACATCAATACGGAAGTCGAAATCCGTGATTATGTCGGTGTCCCGCTCCTCGCGGGTCGTCTGGCGTCCATGCGAGTCGGTACTTGTAACAGTTCGGTAGCGCGTCTCGGTATGCGTTCCAACGACGTGAAGCACGTAGTCCGGCGCTTCCTCCGCGCGGGCGAGTAAGAAACGATACAATGCCTCGCCGTCGCGGTTCAGGTGCGGGTCGTGTGAGACAATTGAATTACCTAGCTTGACTAGGTTTCCCACTTCCAAAATCCGTGTCAGGCACCGGTCCACCGGCGATTGCCTGAACGTCGTGATCCGATCAAT